AAGGTGATCTGTTCTGTTCGGAAGTTGTTGGCTTGGCCGAAAGTCACGGGCAACGTAATCTTGCCCAAAGGTCTGGACGATGATTGGGGAGTAATTCCATGGAAGGGTTGATCAGTTGGTGTCAACTCGCTTTGCGGAATTCCCATCGCGTCCAAAGTGCTGGCGAAAAGAAGATTAATTGAGCTGCCACCGTCAATGAGAACTTGCACTACCTTGATGTTCCGAATAGTGGGTTCGACCATGATCGGATATCATCCTGGGATAACGGCGGTCTTGGGGTGGTCTTCTTCCGAGAACTCTATCTTCTGCTCAGACCACTTCATCTTGGGTGCAGCCCCCTGCCATGTCAAGTAGACTTCACGTTCCACTTTCTTGTATTCTCGCTTGGAGGAATACGTTGTGGAACCGCTGAAGATGTGTGAGACGTGGAAGTCGTAGTCTGGATACGCTGAGTCCAGTTCGTGAGGAGCCGTCTCTTCGTTCTTCTCGACAACGCGTACTCGCTTGCCTTTTTCAAATGCCATGTGCTTCTCGAGCGACTTTTTGAAAACAAGGCAATCTTCCAGAGAATGTCTGTCCGTCTTATGTATGGGACACCATGATTTCTTTGTGTTGCTGCTTTGTGGGTCTGGGCGTTTGGGAGGGTTCGCGTATTCTGCTGCGAGGACTTCCGCTTGAGCTTTCCTTTTCCCATTTTTGCGATTTTTCTTCTTGCTTGACTCAGATGTGTCCGTGGCTGGTTTCTTCTCTCCCCCGGTCTTCGGCTTATCGTTCTTGCGTCTTAGCGCATCATTAGCATGGGCGCATTGCTCAACGATCTCGAATAATCTCCGAGTGGTTGTGATGCGTCTTGTCGCCAACTCCTGGGTAGTGTAGCGATCTCTGACACCGGATTTGAAGGCGCGAATTACAGAAGCGTCGGTGATTTCGGGAATTGTGTTTCTGCACTCGTTGAAATGTCGAACATATTCCCTCAATGATTCACCCGAGTTCTGTGTCAATGCGTGTAGGTCGTCTTCGATCGCGTGGCGCTTGTATGTTCCTTGGAAATTGGCGATGAATTGTTGCCACAGGTCTGCCCACGAAGAGATTGAGTAGGGAGGAAGATGCATCAGCCATGAACGCGCAGAACCCTTCAACGCGGTTGGTAAATAGTTCGCTAACGCGTTGTCGTCTGCTCCGGCAGCATAGAGTACTGTGGAGTAGACTTGAAGGAACTCCTCTGGGTCGGTGCTCCCATCATACTTTTTTATTGCTCCGGGTCGGAATCTCTCAGGCCATCGGACATCACGTAGGGAACGACCGAAAGCCCTACACCCAGTGTTGGGGGCGGTGGGTTGTCGGCGGTCGTGTGTCCTTCGTGGATGTCTGTCTGACGATGAGGAGGACGCGGATGATGACGATGACGATGGGTCGCTTGGTTCCGGCGTACGATTACGAGGATGACGACCTGGATCTCGAGAATCCTGTCGTCGTCTTCCGCTGTTGTCTCGGCGCCGGTCTCCATCATCGTCGTCGATACGGCGGCAGCCATGACCAGTATTGTCTGGCACCCGTCGTTCGCGATCGTTGTGATCATGGTGGTTGTCGTGGTCCCAGTCCTCGTTTGAGCGGTCTCCTCGATTGCCGTTATCATGGCGCCGTGAAGAGACATGATGCCGAGAGCGATTCACATTGTCTCATGTGCGTCGTGCTTCTCGACGGCCGTTGATTTGATCTTGAAGATCGCCAGTGCCGCGAGGTGGAGGGGTAGCTCGTTGAGGTGATTCCCTCCGTTCCGGATCTTCACCATTGGCCTCGCCAGTTGGTGGCTGCTCCTGGTGTGCTGCGGTAGCGGCTTCTTCAAACGCGTTGCTGAGGTTAGTCACCGATTCTCGTAGTCATTCTGTCCAACGCTCGAGGTCATCGTTCAGAACGGGATCGTAAGGAGTTTCCCTTAGTATCGCTTGAACGGCCCTGATGTGCTGGGCTGGAGTAGTCGATTGATTCCCCGCTTCTGCGTTGGCGTGCGCTGACGTGCCAACGTCATCGATAGCCAATACCTCCCGCGGCGCGCTCGTTGTCGATGACCCATAGTCCTCGAGGAGATGTAAGACCGATGGTTCGTGAGGATCGATATCGATTACCCCAACGAATCGATCTGAAGTTGGAGTCGCTCCTTGTTCCTTGCCGTTATCCCTGATGGGGACATATGACTTAGGAGACGGAGCTTTCATGGCGCCGAGAAAGACTTTGCAGCTCGAGAGGTCGTGATTCTTTGTCTTGTGAATAGGACAATAGACATCCCGAGTTGGAGAAGTACGCTGAATTCCACGTTCTTTGCAGGTGCGAATTTCAGCACGGACGTTGAGGAAAACCCAGCAATCTTGCAGAGTGTGTTTCTTGGTTTTGTGGATAGGACACCAAGACCTTGTGGCTTCGGAAGTCATCTTTGTCGGCTCGTGGTTCATGTCGGAAGGACAAGGTTTGGCCGTATCAGAATCCTTCTCGAGCTTGGATGTCGTCGATATTCCGTTCTCCGTCTCGACGGGAGGATTTTTCGACATGGAATCGCCTTGGTTCGTAGCCACTGCGTTCTCGTCTCCGGTCATTGGAGGACTGGTTGAGATCGGCATCGTGGTGTAAACCGGGAAGACGATTTCGCCGACTTGAGTCGATGCCAGCATTGTTGAAGCAGGGAGTACTTGGCTGAGGCTGGTGCTGACGTTGTTGTCGACGAAGCTGGATGACATAGTAGTAGAACCTTGAGTACCAAGGCCCCCTACCTGGCGCGCCACTGTCGACGGGTGATACCCGTAGACCGGATATAGAGGGTATTGGGGTACGTTGGTACAAGGATCTACGTAGTACGACATCAAGCAAACAAAAGACAAGAATTATACTGGTTCAGGCCCCTTGATAGGTAATAGCCCTAATCCAGTTGATGTGGGATTATATGGTAGAAAACACAGGTTATAAAGGGAACAAGGGAACTTGTCGGATCCGGCGAGATTGTAATCGAGTTGTTTCGACTAGCTCTCGATGACTTGGCTCCTCATAAGCTCTGGCTTCATAGGCTGTGTAGGTTGTGTTGGCTCTGAGATTCGATACCTAAACCCTCCCCGGGGGGTCCCTTTTATATCGCAGATCTGGAGGTCTCCACGTAGAACTCGGAGGTATCAGACCCTATACAATACGCCAACAACCCAGTTCTGCCCGAGTAGGATTCTTCCTGTCTGTAGATTCCGTGAAAGGTTTCCTTAGAATATACAGGAAATATCCGCATGCGCGTGGGTATGCCATATCGATATGTAACATATATCGAAGGGTAAAGGGTATGCCTAACCCGTAACCCTGACATATTTGTCTTGTGTTGAAAATGTTATTACTTTTTTCTGTAGTTTGACTTTGACCAAAATTAAAACAACTTATAATCTGAAACAGAGAGAGTACATACAAACATATATATTAGCAGATCCAATAGGTTTATTGTACTTCAAATATTTTTGTTACAAATTTATCCTCTCATATCTTCACATCACTAATTTTTTTGCACGGGATAAATCTAAAAAAAAGTAAAGCATGAAAACCTATTCATATGCTAGCATATATAGTATAGAATTGATCAAATATTGTATTTTTATGTTATTGGCGTATTCAATATACACTGAGGTCAAACCAGGGGCAAATGGGTCATTTTCATGCCTATGTCCACGTTGGCAAGGTGACATATCCTTCCAGATATGCAAAATGGCAATTTGTAAAGATTCTCTCTCTCTCTCTCTAATGGCGTTTCTGTAGGTTCATTTGGAAGAATGACATCTCACAAGTGGTAGTCCGTAAAAGTGCCAAATAGTTAAATTTCCCGTTGGAAATCAGGATAACTCACAAAGGGGTCAAGAATTCAGAATCCCATAGGGCTAGGCCATTAAGACGATGGATTTTTATTTTATTTTTTATAGGGTTGAGACGGTGGATTAAAAGATACGTTTGTCCATGACCCGATTAGGCACGGCTATGACCTGATTAGGCACGGTTCACAGAATGGGTCGTGTTGTGCCGACCCACATGCTGAGGCTGGAGCCCAGGCACGGTCCAATGAGATGTAAGGTCGTGTCGTGTCAACCTAGTATAGTTGGGGTACGTGGGTTGTGTGGTGGCCCGTAACCCAAATTCGATATATACTAAGAAAAAATAACATGAATAGAATTTGTTGCATCCTGCCGCACAAACTTCAGTGAAGCTCTAGCGAGGTCCTTCGCTCACCATTATCGCATTCCTCTTCCACCTCATCAAGCACTGTTGTGGCCCTTCGTTTTTTACTTCCTCCACTCCAAAGCCAGTGAGCCCTCAACGACCGACACACTCAGAATGGGGCGCCACTACGCCGCCGTGCAGGCCTACATCGATGAGCGCCCATCATTGCTTCCCCTGCCCCCAAGGCCCTAGCTTCCTCGATTCTTCCCTTCTTCTTTCCTCCTAGCTCTTGCTCGGATGGTAGTTGCTCAACGGGCAGTTGTTGGCCGGTGCCGGTCAACGGTTGCCACCATGCCACACGGGGTAGGCCGTGTTGTGCCATTCCATGGCTATGTCATGCACTTGTTGTGTTGGCACACGATGCTAAGGTGGCGGCCCAAGAACCACTTGCCACTCCTGTGTCATGAACTGTACCATACATGCCAAGGTCGATAAGAAAGACTTGGCCCATTTGACAACCTATACGAGGATTTAGCAAACTCATATCCATTCTTTTGTTTGTACAGATGAGATCAATCAAGATACCCCATCGTATCTAATTAACTTGATTAGTATAGAATTAAAGGGGAACTACTTTTTTTAATATGTTCCCTTCCATAACAAGGATTACACTCCAGCCAACCAAAAAAAGAATGCACTCTTTTACTAAAAAATGTGCAAGCACAACATAATCTAGACAACATATGCATTTTCCTTTTGTTTTTATTAGATCAATTTCAAGTAGGGTTGGCCGAGACAAAAATTTTCAATATGCAAAATGAGGATAAACTGATCTCATGGATATACACATCTATGTTACTTATCTCATTGTTGAAAATAAAAATATTTTCTCACTAAATCAACACTGATTAGGAGAAATTAATCTCAGCTGGTAGAAACAAAGGGATGGTTGACATTTTTCAACTACGTCGGGTGGTTTTAGCATCAACTTTAGGGGATCCACATCCCACGAGGAGTCGGAATTGACCTCGAGCAGATGAGGAAATATCCTCGTTTCACCCTCTTTTTGGTCATGTTGAGCCCATGGATGCGCCTTACCGCGTATAGCGAAGCCTTAACAACCACAACAGGTAAAGTACTACCCCCAAATCATCGACATGATAAAGAAAGACATGACCAGGCAACAGTGATCTCCATTTTACAAAAGCCAACATCAAGCTCAACACAGCTTTCACCGACCTCCTCAGGCACGAACCTTATCTCAGCTTCCATCTTACTACAAATATTACTACCATCAAATGTCACCACAGAAACTTCCAGCTCCCCCTCAAACTCAACAGAAACCACACGCCGCGAGAGCCCTACCACGCCATCGGCATCAACACGCATCTTCCTCCTCTTATCTCCAGAATCAAGCAACAAAACTCCATTGTGTTTCAGGCTGGAGGTACAGGCAGTAAACCGAGCTGAAGAACCATCTTCTTCTGGCCATGACCCATCAACGATACGCGCCTTGATCGTGGCCTCCACGGAGCGAACGACATAGCCAAACGTCAGCTCCAGCGTGCTAAGCTTGCTGGTGTACTCTCTAGTAATCAGGCATGTTTCCCTAGGGCGGTTGACATCGGTGAGCGGTACAGTGAAAAAGCTTAAATCTTCATCCTCTGATTCAGTAGAGCCCTTGACTCTTAGCACAGCCTCAAGGTAGACAGGATCACACACCACAACAGCACGGGTAGGGCCTGTCAGTAGTAGATATGGATCCTACAACATGCAGAACCACTAGTTTACTGCTGTAAAATATTGTGTAAAATATTCATTGAAGTAGCATGAGTTGCATATCCGAATGGTGGGAAATGCGAAGAAATTAACTGGTGGCAAATGAAAAGAAATTAACTTGTGGTGAGCACAGTTTGCCAAGGGCCAATAAATTGAAATGGGCCAGCAAAAGTGTGGGAAATATTTCAGAGACCTTGAAGCTGAGAAACCAATGTACATTACATTCAGAAATCTGAAGAAGATGTGGTAAACATTGAGCGGTGTAATGAAGAAAACCGCAAAACTGAATACAAGTACTAAGTGTAACTAATAAATGGTGTGAGCTGCATAATAGAAATGAGACAAACAGGAGGTCTGCCTGACCTGTGCCTCGTGTCTATGCCCTATGGGGGGAAACGCTAAAGGCCTAGAATTCTAAAGGCCACATTCAGAGTTTAGCAAAAGTTGGGAATTCCAAGCCCAGTTAGCTCTTGATTCTCTTGTGCGGACATGGTACTAAAAAGATGAATAAAATCACTAAGTTGACAAATTCAAATTCAACTTGTACATTGACAAATAGAATACAACACTACAGTTTATGAATGAACCACTCAACTGCAATTGACAGATGCTTGTACGGGATGTTATTTCCACATTGATTTCTTCTATATATATGCTACTTCCTCGTACTCAGAAATGTTTGTTGAAATTTTATATATAAACCAAAAATATGCATTCATGTAAGTACCTTCAAAAACTCTAGTTATTTACATGCTTTTGATTTGTTATGGCATGTTTTCCATGGGTGCTAGGGATAAACTTGTTCATCAAGCTGAATTTCAGATCTAATTATTCAGATATGTAATGAACGTGACAGTTCTTCACCTAGGCACCACGGCAATGGCAATATAAAGGAAATACAGAACATGGTCACCATGTATAATACACTACTCCGTATCTTCTAAAAGCCTATTAAGGTGGTAACCAATAAACCTACATGGAGTAACTAGTGTCATTTGATCTGGAGAAACAAGGGCAGTAATAATATTTTTTTTTACCAAGAGATAGCACCAAGTAAGGACATACATAACTTAGATGGTAATGATGATTAATGAATAACGGGAATCAAGTGGATGAACCTCTTGGGTGAGGGTTTGGCAGTCATCCCTAGTGCGGTCGAAGACCATATTGCGATTGTGATCAATTGTGTCCCGTGCAGCAATGAGACCAAACACATGGATCGGCCACTGTAAGCCCCGCCTTAATTCTTTGATTTTTACACAGAAGATCTGCAGCGTATATTGTTCAGATGCATCGAATGGCACAGGCTCAGCCGTATATCGCATAGGTGGGATAGACGCTACATACATGTAAAAAATCAAAATTTGAGTATTTATATGAATATAAAGATTGCACTTAATTGTTCATACAGTACGAAGAACAAAAATTCCACAGGCCAGTACAATGCACTAGATTATGCAATCAATTTGATAATGGAGTATCAATCAATATCAGTACAATTGAATCGAAACATTCCTACATAGTCATAAGGATCTAGGAGGTGGTCCTGGCCTCCTGGGACCACCCAAATAATCTTAACCCGATGTATATATATACATACGTAAGAAAAACTTTTGAAAAAAGAAAAACAAAACCCCTTTATTAATATAAGATGCACATTTGATCAATTTATACTTCTAACTTTGTTATATTTAGAATATTTTTAAAAACTATACAAGTGGATTATCTATATATAAAAATCCTAGATACGTGACATAGATATAGACGCGATGGAAATCAAGATCGAATAGTGAGTTAGTGACTGACTGGATTTGTCGAAGGGGCCGTAGGCTCTTGCATAGATGCGTTCCCAGCTCTCGCGATAGTGGCGGGCGTCGACGGCCAGCTCGTCGGACCAGTCGACGTCGGGATGCTCCGCGACCTTCCTCTCGTACTCCTCCTTGAACCTGGCGAACCACTCCGCCCTCACCTTCTGCCAATCCGACGCCGCATCGGCAGCGGCGGATGCGGATCTAACATGGGACATGGGGATCCGATTGAACCCCCCAAACTTTTGGGGGAGAACACACAAACTGTTGTTAGTATTAATGTTAATGGCAAATTTCTACTACAACAGACGCTAGGGTTAAGATTAACACAATCAAATTCGCAAAAAAAAAAAAAGTGCGTGGGTAGAGAGAGAGATGAGGAAGAGGATGTCCGAAACGAGGGATGGGGATGCTCACCAGGATTCGGCGGAAGCAGCAGCAGGACGAGCGACGGCGCCCCGGATCGCTCGCGGGGAGGATGGGATCGGCGACGAGCGAGCCGGCGAACTCACGATGAGGAGTCGGAGTTGGCGGGGAGGGGACGGGGAGATACTATACCCGAACGAGGGACGTGGGTCCTCTCTGCACCGATTTTTTTTTTTACTATTTGACCTTTTTTAAACAATTTTTTCCATTATATTTATACTTATTAGCTAAATTTTGAATTTTCAACCTTAAATTTAAAAATGATTTTAAGGTTTTTTCAGACTTTGCTTTTAGATCACTAAGAACACGTATATAAAAGTTTTATTCACAAATTATTTTTTCGTTCACAAATATGTCGTTTGGCTTATTTCACGATGGTGGCTTTATTTTAAAAATAAATCCCATCGAGAACTTTGATAAAAAATTGGCACTGACAATGACACTATTGAGTCTAAGGTAAACCCTTCCTTTGCTATATGGTGAATCATAAGTGTTGCTGCACTAACATGGTGAATGAGGTCAGGGCGATGGTATTTGACGTTGGCCTTGTATTCTTCAAGAAAATCATAATAGTCAATAATAAAAATGTGTTGAGAGTGGTGGGACGGTGTTGTTGCCATGCTAAGGACTTGGATTTGATCCCTGCAAACAACAATGCTGCATATGTTAGAGCTCTAACCATTGAAAAATGCAAAAAGAGAAAAGAAAGGGATAAAAAAAAAACTCACCTAGTATTTGAACTCAAGGTTGTTGGGCCAACCAATACAAATTTGGTTGTGTTTAGTTGGATCCAAAGTTTGGATTTTGGTTGAAATTGAAGATGATGTGACTGAAAAGTTGTGTGTGTATGATAGGTTGATGTGATGGAAAAGTACTGAAATTTGGATCCAAACTTTAGATCAGCCAAAGTTATTTCTCGGCATATATGGGGTCAGCACCAATGGTTGTGGCGTTGACCTCCTTGCCATGTTAGCGCACCAACACTCTTCATCGTGGCAACGGTCCGTGCTGAAGTGGATGGCATTGAGGTGGCAGGTCTTGTGCTAAGGTCTAGGTCCATTTTTCTAAAGATTGTGATGGTATAAATTTCTAAAATACGTTTGTAAGAATGGCCAAATAGTTAAAATTTTCCCTCTGTGTGCTAAGGTCTTAGTCCTAACGCGAGGTGCTAACATCAACATGCTAGTGATGCAGTATTATACATTTGTCATTTGTAGAGTGAATATATCACGGTGCACATCTAATTATTCTTTTCTTTTTTTAAGTATGGATAGAAATCCGGTCTTATACATGGTTAAAAGTTACGAGAGCTAGGTTTCATAACTAAGGACCATAAGAAAAAGAAAAAAATCAAATAACCCCCTATAAGCCACTAATCTTTAAAATCTCCCCTTACAACTTATCTCCGTGCAAAACATCTCTTATTCCATTTTCTCTTCCAACTAACCCCTGTCTACTTTTTAGTGATTTCTATCGCTTTAGTCTTCATCGATACATGATGCACTACCGTAAACATATCCGAATCTTTACCATATGTAAATAAACAAAACAAATTAATTCAGAAGCAACCACCAAATTAATTACCCTCGTCAATAAACTTACTAAGCAGAATATATACAGTAGTGAGGTCGCAAAATACATCACATGCTCAAATCAGGATTCAAGGACATGAGTGACCAGAAGACAGTGACTTCCAGTTTACGAAAGCCAACATCAAGCTCGGCCTTGCTTTCACCATCGTCCTAGGTGTGAACTTTTCCTCAGCTTCCATATAATTACAATTAGATCCAAATGCCGCAACAGAAACCTCCAATTCCCCCTCAAATTCAACAGAAACAACACGCCTTGACAGCTCTATCATGCCATCGGCAGTGACAGACATCTTCTTCATCTCATCTCCAGAATCAAGCAGTAAGACTCTATAATCCTTCAGGCTGGAGGTATGTGCAGTAATCCGAGCTGAAAAACCTTCTTCTGGCCATGACCCGTCAATGACTCGCACGTTGATCGTCGCCTCCACGGAGCGTACAATGTAGCCAAATGTCAGCTCCAGTGTGCTAAGCTTGCTTGTGTACTCTTTGTTAATCAAGTGTGTTCCACTAATGTTAGAGATACGAGTGAGCTGCACGGCAAGAAAGCTTAAATCTTTATCCTCGGATTCGATCGAACCCTTCACTTTCAGCGCAACCTCAAAGTCCACAGGATCAACCACCACAACCGCCCGGGTAGGACCTGTCAACAGTAAATATGGAACCTGCAGAATGCAATGATGTAACATTGTCCAGTAAGACATGAGTATGTAAAATAGTAGTATTAGTAAGGGGATTCATGCTATCAATCTATGTTGATAAAAGGGGAGTTTGTAAATCAATATGTTATCCGAATTTCATTAAGGGGAACTGCATAGAAGTAGCATGAATTGCACAATACAATTATTTCTCTCTTTATTTGTTCCCGATACATCATAACATACTTTCACAAACTCCAATGCAATCTATTTTCACAAACTCCAATGCAATCTATTTTTATGTTTGAACATATATATTAATAATAGACATGATCTAAGAAACAACATGATCTCGTTGTATATGGATGTCTCTAATCAAAACACAGCTATAAATTTTGGTTATACGCCATGTTCAGGCGTAATTAACCTCATGTTTCACGATTTACAAGTTGATTACTTGATTAGTATCTGGACAAAAAGTAAGTACCGCCACCAAACATAGGCAACCTTTGTTTCAAAGTTAGTATTTATGTTTTATCTGGATTACATTTTTTATCGAATATATTCTGCTTTCAAATTTAATACTCCGGGCACACACACACGACACATCCAACATCTTGTAGTACTAGTAGTACTAATTCAGTTGAATTTTGAAATGTGCCCTCACGCCACTTGATTTAGCTGAGCAACTGCAGGGTTTTTTTTTTTTGTTTTTTTTAGAGGGGGGGGGGCTCTTGTATAAGCACAATTTTACAAAGAGCCAAAAATTTGAGTTAGACCAGCAAGAGCGTTATAATATTTCAGAAACCTTGAGATTGAAGAAACCAATGTAGATAACATTTAGAAATCTAAAGACAGTGTGGTAAACATTGAGCGGTGTCATAAGAAAAACAGTACTATGAAAAATAAGTACTAAATGCAACTAATAAATGGTGGGAGGTGCATAACAGAAATGAAAGGCAAAGCAGACTCACAACGTGAGCCTGACACGTCTCTGTCTATTTAGGGCCTCATCGGTTGGCCAAAAACTGATTATAAGCCGTAAGAGTTTATTAGCGATCAAAAAATAATTTATGTGGAAAACTTTTATATATGTGTACTTGGCGACTTAAAAGCCAATGCTGAAAAAGAAACTACATTGAAAACATCTTAAAATCAACTTTGAAATTAAGTTTTAAAATTTAAATTTTGGCTTGGTTTAATCTTTTTAGGGCAACCGATGGGCTCTTATCGTGCGGCACACACAAAGGGCACAATAAGAGTTCAGTAGAAGTTGGAAACTCTCCCAGACCCAGTTATCTTGATTACCTTTTTGCTGACATGGCAGTCGATAATCTAAATAAATTCAACTTGTACATTGACAAATAAAAGACAAACACAGTTTCTGACTACACCAATCATTTGCATTTAGCAGATGCTTGTACAGAATGTTTTTTTATACGCCGTCAGAAATATTCACTGAAATTTCATATAAAGGGAAAAAAATGCCTAATGTACATACCTATGAAAATTCTAGTTATTTATATGCCTTTGATTTGTTATGGCATGTTTTCCATGGCTAAAGGTTAGGGATAAACTTGGTCGTCGTCAAGCTGAATTACAACAGAACAAATTATTCTCATATTGTGACATGTAATGAACATGACAATTCTTCACTCAGGGACCATGGCAATGGCATTGCGAGAGGAAAAAAAAAACAGTCAGATCACAATATATACTGCACTATCTTCAAGAAGCTTATTATGGTGATAATCGATAAACAGCTATAACTAATATCATTTGATATGGAGAAATTAATAAGAGGACACACCACCTACTTGCATTGATGATGAATGAATAACGGGGATCAAACAAGTGAAGGAATGAACCTCTTGGGTGAGGAGTTGGCAGTCATCCCTCGTGCGGTTGAAGATAATATTGCGGTTGTGGTCAATTACGTCCCGTGCAGCAACGAGACCAAACACATGGATCGGCCACTGTAAGCCCCGTCTTAATTCTCTGATTTTTACACAAAAGATCTGCACTGCATCATGTTCGGATGCGTAATCCGGCCCAGGATCAGCCGTAGTATAGCGCATCGGTGGGATAGGCGCTGCATATATATGTAACAATCGTAAGCATCAATATTTCTAAAAGAAAAAAACAATTGTAACCATCAAGAATTCATATCACATATAGAAAAGATTGCGATTGTACAGTGCAGTAGAGGATACAATTAACAACTAATGGAGCATGGATCAACAATTGAATTCCACTGAGATAGATTTTCGACACAATTAAACAGATGATAAAGGGGATTAATGGAGATCGATCAATAACTGAATTCAACTGAGATAGATTTTCGACACAATTAAACAGATGAAAAGGGATGAAAAGGGGATTAATGGAGCATCGATCAATAACTGAATTCAACTGAGATAGATTTTCGACACAATTAAACAGATGAAAAGGGGATCAAGATCGACTAGTGACTGACTGATTTTGTCGAAGGAGCCGTAGGCTTGGCTCCAGACGTAGTCCCAATCCTTGCGATACGAGCTCGCGTCGATGGCCAGCGAGTCGGACCAGTCGACGTCGGGATGCTCCGCGACCTTCCTCTCGAACTCCTCCTTGAGCTTGGCGAACCACGCCGCCGACCGCTGCTTGAAGCGCGACACCGCCTCGGGGTCTCGCTTCTTCCGGCTCGGCTCTCCTCCGCCTCCTTCGATCTCCCCTGATTCGCGCTCTCTCTTCGTCCCGGACTCGTCGTCGTCCTCCTCCCTCGTCTCGATCCCCGCCTCCTCCTGCACCTTGTCCTTCTCCATCTAGCACGGCGAGATGCCGCCGCCGCCGCCGCCGTCACACCAAATCGAACGCGAGGGAAGTTTTTGCGGGGAGTGCCTTTTCGTTTCCTTTTCTTTTTTCCTTTTTTTTAAGAGGAGAGCCCATTGGTTCATGGGAATTTTGAGAATACAGTACCACCCAATACACACTGCTTCAAGGATTAATCGTCCAATTCGCACTGCTTTCAGAATATACTACTGGAGTACGAATTTTCTTCGTTCCATACCACTCCGTCCACCGAAGACGCGTCGTCAGTTCACCCCTCTCGCACCGTTTGCCCGCACACATCTGGCCGCCAACGAGCTCGTCCTTCCCCATGCCGGCGAGCTCGTCCTCCCCACACCAGCGAGCTCCTCCTACCCCAGCTCGTCCTTCCTGCCAGCGAGCTTGTCCTCCCCCACACCAGCGAGCTTTTCTTTGCGAACGACGGCGAGCTCTTCCTTCCCCATGCCGCCCCGAGCCGTCGCCACACCGGGCTGCCGCCACCGTGCCCCGAGCCGTCGCCGGTCCAACCTCCGCCACCGCGGCCTCGAGCTCATATAGAGCTCAGCCGCCGGAGCTCGACGCCCTCCATCCTTCACCGCCGCTCCTCTCACCTCCAGCCCTCCATCGCATGCGCTGATGGCGGCGACGGACGGTCGACAGCGCGGCTGACGCGGGCAGCGACGAACGGTCGACGGCGGGGCTGACGCGGGCGGCGACGGACGGGCGACGGCAGGGCTGACGCGGGCGCGAGCGGTGGCGGACTGACGGCGGCGGCGCCGGGAGGACGGAGAGAACGACGGCGTGACTGACGCTAGGGGACGGAGTGGCGTGGAACGAAGAAAATTCACACTCCATTAGTGTATTCTGAAAGTAGTATGAATTGGGTGATAAATCCTAGAAGCAGTGTATATTCGGTGTTATATTCTGGAAATTCTCATTGGTTCATTGGTAGTAGTTTTAGTGCCGGTTTGTCAAATTTTTTTGTATTCCCTCGTTCTAGCTCAATTGCTCAGAAGTGCCATCGAAGTTAACGAAATCAAAACAAGAGAATGGGAATGGTTAATAGGTACTTCCTCCATTTCATATTATAAGATTTTTTAGCATTGTCTATATTCATATATATGTTAATGAATCTAGGCATGTATGAATGTAGACAATGCTAGAAAGTCTTATAACCTGAAACGGAGGGAGTACTCGAGAGAAAATTAGGATCAATATTTTGCAAATTACCCACGACCCAGCTTTTTCTTCTCCAACTTCGAAGACCTCAACTAACGGTAATGTAGTTATGGTTTAGGTTCTAGAGGGGGGGGGAGAGAAAACAGGGAGGAGATCGTCAAGTTTAGATTAATGGTTGTGTGAAGTGGTGGCCCATCAGTGGACGGTGAACATAGACGGGTGGCGAGGCGGTGCCGAAGCCATGGGGTGGAGGCCTCGCTGGCGCCAATGACGTCTTTCACCACACCAACGAGGTCGGGTGGCAGCGATCCCGTCGTGATGACGATGGGAGTGAGGAGGGATGGGTTAGGTTTAGGTGTGTATATTGCATAAATCTTAAAGAAATGTAATGCTTTAAAATTATGTAGACTTTCTGTCAAATGCTATATATAGACCGTATATTAAAGAATACTCCATGTATGAATTAGGAGCAAAGAAAAATACTCATATTCCTATATGACGATGACATGTGGGTTTTTTTTTCTATTTTTCTATAGTTTTGTTATTATTTACTATTATTAATCATTATCCATGTACATTAATATTTCCTATTTTATTTTTATAATTTTTATTATGCCTATGATTTTAATTTTCAAAATCATTATCCATGTAATGATTTTGAAAGTAAAAATATTATATTGAACTATGGATGAAAATCAAATCATTTTTTTTGGACAACTGTACCAAACAGGACCTAAATAGTTTTTTTTTATTTTTTTATATGTGTCATTCGTTTTGCAATAAATAGATCTACCAAATTTAAGAATTGTATTGTATAACCTTATTTCATAGGGTGTCAACGATTGGAAAAATTCCTAAAAAGGTAGAGCCTGTTTGTAAGAGCTCCGACTCCTGCATTTAGCTATAGGAGTTAGGTCTGGAATAAAGTTGTGGAGTATCCTAAACACAGTTCCACCTCTCTAATTTATTTTGTGAGAGTGCTCCACCCAGCTCCGCTTCTATTTTAAGTATAAGTGAAACTGTTTGGTTGAGCTCCAGCTCCAGAAAAGGTGGAGGTAGAGCTAGAGCTGTGCCAAATAGGCACTTAGAGTGCCTATGACATCCCATCATCTTCTTTTCACATTCCTATAATTTGGAAATCTTATGACTGAATAAAACCCTAAGTAGTTTTGCAATAAACAGAATTAATATCACTTGAATTCAATTCAACATAGAACTAATATCACTTGAGATTTTTGGTTGTACTAAACAGCTAACACGTAAAACGAGAAAACTCAGTACGTCATGATTATTTAAGTATTAATTATTATAAATTATAAAATAGATTTATTTATTTTTTAAAGGAACTTCACATCATATAGTAGTTCGGGAAGCATGCTCACATAATACATTGAAGCCAAAACGCTCAAAAGAACTCAATCTAAGCCGAATTTGTTCTAAATAAATTTAAGTTTAAGTAGTTCTTAACTTGCAATGCATAAAGTTAACAAAGATTGTTTTGTGATAATATTAAATATCATAGCTCATTATGTTACTTCTGGTGATACATGTTCATCTAAGTTCAAGTTCTACACTTGGCACCTGCTCGTATTTATGACTACTCCCTCTATCCCACAAAATGTCCAACCCTAGCTTCCCAAGATGAATATAAGGGGATAGATAAAAAACCAAAATACCTCCAATTAATAGCAAAGTTATATTAATGGGTGGGTAGATGAGAGGTATTGAAGAGATAAAACTTATCGATTTATGGACCGATAGTAAGTAAGAAGGTAGAAGTTGGCTTTTTAAACAAATTTTAAACTCTAGAGGTTGATTTATTTTGGGATGGATGGTACTTATTAGTGGTGGACGCTTATTCGTAGACAACGAGATATCGTGGTGACTTTATCAATTTTAAGTTATTTCAGTTTATGTTTTTGTGTACATTTATATAAATGAGTGCGCGTGTGTATATTTTATATTGTACTGGAAAAATTGCCCGTGCATTGCAACGGGTGGAGACTATTTTAATCTTATTATTATTCAGTGTGAGAATTCGCTTGGATATATATTTTTCAAGAAAATCATGTCAAGTTAGCATGCGGGTTTTTTTTCCAGGAGATTTCTTATACGACTCCTTCTGTATTTCCAAAAGCGAATGAACTTAAAACCCGACTCAAATACGGATTTGTATTTCTAAAAGCGAACGAATTGTATTTTCCAATATGGTTAAAAGTTGATTCATACACGGATGACGTACAAAAGTACCGGTAAAAACATCTTTAATTTTTATAATAGTATATAGAAGAGATAGATATTAGTAAAAAAAAAAGTATCAATATTGAGTCGTGTGATAACAAGGCTTCTTCTACTAGTTGCCGTAGTACAAGTGTACAATGGTGAATCCCAAATGGAGCAGTGTTCTAGACTTATCCCAGCAACAATTACCAAACCTCCACGCGTATTAGTATTACTCCCGAGCTTAATCCCGATTTGCCCCCATAGTCCCGGCGCTTAATAAAAGCGTGGAGAAACTAAAGGGGAAAAAAAAAAAGAGGAGGCGAGACCTAATTTCCCAAAGAAAAAAAAAGAAAAACAAAATCCCATCTCCCACCGCCGCCGCAGCCCACCACCAGCCGCCGCCTCGGCCGCGAGATCGCCGGCCGCCGCCATGTCGAATCCGGCCGCCTACTACGCCGCCGTCGCGCGGAAGCAGTACTTCTGCTACCAATGCAACCGCACCGTCCTCCTCCCGGCCTCCGCCGCCGCCGCCGGGGCGCTCTCCTGCCCGGAGTGCCGCGGGGATTTCATCGAGGAGGTCAACGTCCCCGCCCCCGCCATCATCCCCTTCCCCTTCGCCTTCCCCCCGATGATGCCCACCGCCACCTCCGCCTCCGCCGCCGCCGCCGCCGCGGCCTCGCCGACCCAGTCCTCCTCCTCGTCCGCCGCCACGTCGCCATCCAGCGACCTCTCCGCCTTCCTCAACAGCATGCTCGGCCCGCTCAACCTCCGCACCGACGAGCGGATGCCGGGAACCACCTCCGCCGCGGGCACGGCGACCCCCGAGGACGAGCCCGACGGGTTCGACGCGGTCACGTTCTTCCAGAACTACCTCCAGAATCTCATGGACGGCGGCGCCAACATCCAGGTCCTCCTCGACGACGCCAGCGTCGGCCTCGCCCCCGGCATCGGCCGCGTCGGCGGCGCCAGCTTCGGGGACTACTTCGTCGGCCCGGGCCTGGAGCAGCTCATCGAGCAGCTCACCGAGAACGACCCGAACCGCTACGGCACGCCGCCGGCGGCCAAGTCGGCTCTCTCCACGCTCCCCGATGTCGTCGTGACCGACGCCATGGTCGCCGCGGCGGATGGCGCCGAGTGCGCCGTCTGCAAGGAGGATTTCTCGCCTGGGGAAGGGGCCAAGCAGATGCCCTGCAAGCACATTTACCACGCCGACTGCATCATGCCATGGCTGGATCTCCACAATTCATGCCCCATATGCCGCTTTGAGCTGCCTACTGATGACCCTGATTACGAGGGGCGTAAGAAATCAAACCCACAGCCAACTGCTGGCGTTGATGCCGGAGCTGCATCTGGGAGTTCTACTGCTGCTGAGGAGCGAGAGGAGAGTGGGGAGAGTGCGAGGTTGGTCGAACGGCGGTTTAACGTGTCGCTGCCATGGCCTTTTAGTGGATTGGGATCGCAAACGCCGCAGCAGGATGGGAGCAATGGGGGCGCTGGTGCCAGTGGCTCGAAGGATGGAGGCGCATCCAGTGACAAAAAATAAGCATAAATGTGCGATTGATTGGAGGTATTCACAGTTATTTGTATTTTACACAACTTATTTAGTAGATTTGAACCTTCTCTGAACTGTTCATTATTGCCTTTCAAGCTCATGCTATCAATCTCTGCTTGGACCATAGAAACTAGTGAATTTTTTCTTAACACATGAAGGGAAGGAATCATCCAAAATTGTTGAAACTGTGGTAAAACGCTATGGCATTTTGTTATCCTAAATGGTTCAGTATTGGCAGCTTGATTGTTCACTACCAATTTTAGGCATATCTCATTTGCGTCTGATCTAGTTATCTTCCATTGTTGTGAATGACAAGCTTTTTCAGATTTATGCGAAGTTTGAGCAATTCATATTCAACATTAGATAGTTTCAACTATTAAATGGATGCATTTCTGGGATATGTTTGTCATGAGACACCAATACAACTTGTGGAGGTTTATTATTTAGGCTGAAACATTCGATAACATATTTCCCAAGAAAAAATAGGAATGCAACAGTGAAAAAAAACACGTATCACCTGCATACCTAATTCCACTAGTTTCGTGGAAGCTAACATGGTGGCTATCTGAGCAAGGATCCTGTCATTGTGAATAGCTAACAGAACGCAGGGCCTTAAATTTTTGGTTGATATTTTTATCCTCAAATTACATTATCATGTCTGGTCCTTCATTTTAAGCACTGAACACAGAAGAACTTACATATAGATCTAACTTGCTGAACAATCTAATAGATATCCATCTGCTTCCAATTATCTCTTGTTAATCTCTTTGGTTTACTATGGTTTATGCTTCACCATGTTCTTTAATTTGGCGTGCAATGCCATTTCAAGTTAAGACTAAAGAATGCTAACAAGTGTTAAGCTTTTGCTAGTTTCGTTGGCTAAATTTTACCTGAGCAATTAGTTCCATTCATGATTCTTAAACTTGATAAATTTGTTAAGTATCCTGCAGCTGTTACTTTTATTGCTAAAATTAAAAAGTCCAATTTGCGAAAGTTCATAGCCTATTGATAGACTTGTTTGGAGCAGTAAATGGATTATCCATCTATGAGCACCCAACTTGCATTTTTCATAGCTCTGGCATACCCATATGATCAACATGTTTGTATAGCTGAATATTACCTCCTTTCCTAGTATTGAATCTACATTTGGATCGACTTACATCCCTGTTTCGATGTAAGTCCTTGCACTCTTGGTTTCACTTCTGTTATGTTTCCAGTTGTAAATCTTATTTTCGCTAAGACAATAAGATGGTAAATAGATTAACGTGCCTTTATTTTCAACAAAGGGTGGTTATATGTTCAAATTAGTTTCTCCAAGGTTTCTCTATTATTCTGTTGTGTCTGATCCATCGTCTAGCTCTTCATAATTGCTCTTGTTTTGTTCCTTAGATTAAAGGAATAAGTGGTGCTTTAATTGTTGAAAAACAGTTGCATATTTTGTGTCATCTCTGCTGCATATTTCATCAAGTTCCAGTAATAAATGGCAACTTCTGAACTTCAAACTGCATGACACAACTTCATTCTCCTTGGGCCGGATTTTTGTGGGAATTATTTGTTTGACTCTATTATTTTTCTACTGGTTCTAGTTTTGTTTATTTGTTGATGGCACTGATGGTTGGTTCTGAACCAAAGTTCATCTTTTTTAATTCTTGGTGTGCATTGATGGTTGATTCTGGAAACGAAAGTTCATGCTTTGTTAGTCTTGTTTACTTCTTGATGTGCACTGATGGTTAATTCTGAACCAAAGTCCATGCAGTTTGGTGAGACTAGTCAGACATTTTGCTTTCTTCAACTATCTTGTTCCCTCATCCTTTCTGCATGCTGTACCCAATAAATTATCTGATGATATAGCTTTTGGCCTAACCTTATGCTTTTAAAATTTTGAGGATGTTTACTGTCTTCTAGTACTTCACAAATTTGAGGATGTTCCTCAAACCATGTTGATAATTACAACAACAAAAAAAACCTATAGATTTCTGGAGCAACACTCTACATCTGGTTTTCTCCGATAGACTATTTTAGAATAAGCAAACCAGTGAAAGGTTCAACTTATGTTACCTCCTGCAGTTCACCATTTGTTCAATATCTGCTTTCATGGTGTGTACCAACCACTAACAGAAGTACTCATTTATCTGCAGGTTTTCCTCTTGGATCTGGCGTTCAAAGGTCTACAATATTTATGTGTCGCTGCCACTTATATACTATAGACATCAAAAGACCAAAGAAATTTACAGTCTTTTTATCCGCTGGAACAATTGTTCATTCTTGTTCTCGCTGCCCGTTAGGTCATGTACACAAGGCACGGAAACTGCCGAGGCAGGAAACGTGCGTTGGGAGTTTGAGACTTTTATGTGTAGATTTGTTAATTAAATTCATCAAAGTACCAAACTTGGAGCATTCCTGCGTCTGCTGTATGTTGTCTCTTCAGGAGCCTTCTCATCTGCTGTTCTGGATGCGTTGACAGGGTACCACTGTTTCTGCTGAGGTACATGTACACTAGGTTTCAGGTAATTCACCTTATGGATTAGTGGTGAGCTTTTTTGCTGCCAATGCAGCTGAGTAGAAGCTGCAGGGCCTTCTCCACAGGCATGAGCAGTGTGGATCCCATGGATGTGTGTATGTTAGGTCTTCTCTTTGATCTCTGGGTAATTGAATTGATTCTTCTGAAAATACTATAAAATTCTAGGTTTTAGGGACAGAAGGTCGACCTGACCTTAGCGCTCTCGTGGGTAAAACTTGAAGACCTTTTTGACAGGTAGGAATTTGACAGGATTTTTACATCAGCTAGTTGAATTTCTACAAAAAGCATTCAAAATAATTCGTTCCGAAAGAGGAGCCTGAGATCGTTACAAGGCACTAATATTCCCTGAATCCTGTTAAAACCGAACTAATTTTTGTGTAATCCATGCAAAATTTGGGCTCTTATAACCGGTGTATCAGTGTGAAAATTGCTCGGATTCTGGGCTTGTACGCAAGCTCATCCAACATGTGGTAGTAACTCCAAAATTTGGGCAGGAAAAGAACTGCCTATGATACACGATTCACATCTCACACCCCCCTTCCATGTCAACCAACTTACAGTCATCGACTCCAGAAAACGTTTACATAGATGATAGAAGGCAATCATCCAGAAGATAGCCAAAAATGCAGCATATGCGATTGATTTCTCTGGTCTTCCAACAAAGGGTCAGGTAGAGGACATGTTCTGTGGTGATTTTCCTGGGTTTCATCTGCGGCCGGTAAGCATGGTGTGAATCGAACTACCAGCAGCTGCCTTCTTCTTTGGCTGAAACTCCAATCATCACAAGGTTAAATAAAACATACACATGACAAATGGAGATTGGGTATGCAGGGTGACAGTAAACAAGGCACCTTTGCATTGTTGAAGAGGTCCTCTGCAATGGCTTCCATTTGCCTCCGCTTCTTCTCCTCTCGCATGAAGTCAGTTACCGTTCCACGCTCGTAATCAGATTCTCTGAAGAAAGGGGACCAAACTCAGTGAGCTTTCAGTGGCAAACTAGTGATAAAAGCTTTGAATTTTTTTTTACCTGTATGGTTCTCGTGAATACGGGATTAGGTCCTTGAAGCTGTTTCCAGACACTGCTCCTCTCTAAAAAGTTGGAAGGCCCCATAGTTAATGTTCTGCCATTCAGTTGTTTGTGCATAAAGGATATTGCACGAAAAAGGTATATAGAATATTACCTTTCTAAAGCGTTTGAAGTTAATGCCACCAGTTTCTATGGATTCGGCACGAGCTGACTGAAGGATGCTTTTCACAACCAGATTCTGGGTATATATAACATGACAAGTCTCATCTCTGCTGTCCAAAGTTTCATCCTTTGGCACCTTGGTCATAACAGGAATGTCCTCGCCTTCAACTTTGAAACCACGCATTGTTGCTGTTTTCTCTATGACCTTGACATCCTCCTCCATAGGTTTCACAATCTCATCTTTCTCCTGGTCACTGTGAAGATTAATGCTGGTCTTTGCTTCCACCAAATTTACAGCATCTTCTTCAGATATAGCAACGACTTCCTTTTTATCATCAGAAATATGCTCAATGTGATGTTCAGACTTGCTAGCAGCAACAGTATGATCAGAAGTTGCAGTATCAATTTCTACATCAGAGTCCACCACAATAGTCTCATCCGTCGAATTTGAGGATGCAACAATGTCTGTCAGAAACAAAATTGAAGGAACATAAATTAATATACTTGGTGTTACACATGTAGTCATAAAGCAAAGACACCAAAGAACTCTTAAGGTCAAAGAAAATGTAAATCTGGTAGCAAATATATATCATGATTGTTAGTACTTACAAGCTGGCGGTTCAATGGCAGTTGCTTCTAAGTGACCAGATAAAATAGCAGCAAAGAGCTTTACATCGGTGATCTTGGACAAAGGAAATAGCCCGCGTATCTTACTGAATTCCAAAGGAGATTTTGCAGGAACAAGAAGAATATCTTTATCATTTTCACCAGCTCCAGAGTCCTGTCAATTTCTTGTTTTAAGTATTGCATCCATCCATCTATACCTCCTATAAAATAATTGTGCACAACTACTTCTAACAAGATAAAACTATCATGTTAAAGGTAGCATTGGATACTACACTAAACTCTGTAAGCATAGCCTATTAGGAAGAGCTGACTGCACATTTTCCAAGCATTCTAGAGACCACATTCACAACATAAATTTCAGCAGAATTTACCTGGCTGTTTGCACAAAACTCATCAACGTGCAGATATTTTGCTCCAGTAGATTCCAGTAAAGCATGTAGTTTGTCTCCAAATTTATACTGCACTCAAATAGTTTTATTCAACAGTGAAACCTAATCACATCACTTCATTTTATTATATTCTATAAACACGCATCACCTTTTCTGATGACCCCAAGATAAAAGTATAGCCTGCAAGGCAGCTCTCTATGAGCTTGATCTCCACCACCTGTATCTCCATCCCATCAAGGGTCAACTTTGGAATATACCTGTGTTATGGAGCAACCAAAACTTCATCAAAAAATCTACAGAAACTGCAATATCAGGTTTGAAAAGTTGTTCGCAACTTACTGTGTAGAAGAAGGCATTTCGGTGTGTATGTTCTTTTCAGCCATCACCTAAAACAGCTCAAAATAATCAGAATTCAAACTGACATGAAATAAGTGTTTGATGGCATATCTTATCAAGAATTAAAAGTGCATTGGAGCTAACAGGCACAACTACAATAAGGAAAAAGAATACCTTAAACCAGTCTCCCAGGACGATCTGCTTTTTCGCCAAAACCGCATCTAGGAGCTCAGGTGTCAATGAACATGACTCGTCAACAAGGACATGAGTGCATTCATCACTCCACTTCCGAGTAGCATATGCACCTTTGGAAGAAAAAAGAGAAAATCATTAAATTGGCAGAGATCACCAGATTATGAGAACTCAGTAGCCACTCTCAGTAAAAACGCTTCAGACAAAAAACTACATTTGAGTGGACCAACAACACTAACCAATATTAGAATAGAAGTACAGATTGCCACTAACCAATGGATGTCATTACTGCCTGCAAACATGGACTAATCCTCCCTGACTTTTTTCCATGAAAAAAGACTACTATGGGGACAAATGACAACCTGCCAAACATACAAATAGAAATAAGCACTATTTATGCATCTAACTTTCCAACTGCAGGATTACAAAGATACATACGAATTAAACAGAAATGCCAGTTCAAAAATAATGACATGTATTGATAAAATGACAAGCATCTATTACACAGCGATATGTTTGATAAACAATTATGCAATTAGCATACGGATGCCATATTTCCTTTTATGCTGACCTGAAGGTTGCATTGCCAGTTCCAAAAGTTACAGTATCCCCATCAGCAAGCATTGCATCTTCATCTTTATGAAGGCGACTACCCTGTGTTCCCTGTACCTTGTTGAAAAATGTCCCATACTTTGAGCGGTCAACTACACGGACATAGGAAGGGTTAGCTGGTGCGCCAGATTGTGGATCCCAGGCCACCATCTTTTCAACCACAATCTCTGCATGGACTCGCGATATCGATGTGTCCGTTTGAACAATGACATCGCAATCTACCACAGAAAAATCAGCACCATCAATCTATAACTCCATAGACACACAAAGGGCAATCAATCACAAAGCCATAAACTTGCTAGTGAAATATTTGCCATCATATTATTGCACTATCAATTATAGGACATGTCCAAATCGAGGAACTACGGAATTTACTGAAATGAAGTTCTTGACATTTTGCTGGTTCAGGAAACAGCAAACATAAACAGCCTTTTGCCTAGTACCGGTTTCAGACAAGTGGAGAACAAATATAACACTAACTAAAACTATAGGGATCAGCTTTTCTCAGCACTAAAACAGATTACAGAACTAACCCTCCCCACTACCACATTAACTGATTAAACGGCACAAGAAACTCAGGGAGGGGAGGAAAGAGATGGACCTTTGCGGCCGACCTTGTACGTCCCGGCGGCGAAGATGTAGCACCTCTGCGCCCCTGCAAAAAATCCAAAGAAAGCACTCAACCAACCAACCAACCAACGACGCGAAACCTTCGAGAGACATCGGCGGCGGAGTGAGGGGGTGGGTGGCGCACCGCGCACTGTGTCGACGGGGGTCAGCGCCCACACCATCTCGTACACTTCCTCCCCTTCCTCTCCTCTCCTCTCCCGAGGCCTCCTCGCTCTCGCTTCCCCGTCCGCCGGAGCGAGGCGAAGCGGCGGTGGTGCGGCTCGACGGCGAGGGTGGAACGGCGAGGGAGTAGACGAGGAGGAGTCACCGCTGCCAGGTGGGCCAGGTAGCCCAGCTTTACTCTTGGGCTCGGCCCATTAGGATGTCATTTTCTTTCTTTCTTTGCCACTTGCCATAGATTGAGCAGTTTAAGATTTTGGGATAAAACAAGTTGAAATTATAAATTTGTAAAGTTTGTGATATTGTATATATTTTTTTAGGGATACACAGAAAAATCATTTATATTTAGGGACGGACGTGATAAGTATTTATAGGTATTGATTCTAATGCACAGTAATTTTATCATTTTTAGCTAATCAGGTGCTTAGAAAGAAACCCAGCCTATTCAAAATTTAAAATTTAACCAATAATGTTACTGAAAACGAATTTTTTTTCTTTACCTTTGATATTTGCTAAACAATCTAAATTCTCTTTATCTAGTATTCTAGTTGAACCTACTCACCTAGGTTAAAGTCATAGAGACTTGACATAATTGCTCGCATTTACGGTTAATTATTCTTTCAGATGTAGGTATTGATAATGAGGTGTTTATTGTGATTTCGTCAATCTCAAAATATATCAGCCTAATATTTCAGAGATATGTTTATATGGGAAGGTGTACAGACGTTATGAGCATGTATGTTTATATTGTATCTTTTTTTTTTAAAAAAAAGAGTGATTGTATTTACCGATGAAGTGAGTAGAGTATAGCCGTACATTGTGTTTGATCATGAAAATTCGTAAAGTAAAACCACCCAAGCGACAAAAGATACCCGCTTTAATCCCATTTTTCAAAGAAAATAATACTCCATACTGTACAACAAAAAGGTAATCCATAAAGCCAATATATTTCATTTCTCATTTCCCATCCACTACGTGGCTACGTCATCATCTGCCATTTTTCTTCCAGCTTTTTTTTTGCTTCAAAGTTTTTTTTTTTTTTTGTTGCTTGGTTTAATCGGAGAAGCCAAGCAAGCTGGCCTTGAAGGCGCGAATCCTCCTGAGGCACCTCTCCGCCCGCTCGATGGCCATCTCCGCGCTGTCCTTCCCCGCTGCCGCCGCCGCGCTCCTCCTCCGCTTCCCCTCCTGCTCGCCGCCGGCGCCGCCGTTGCCGCCGCACCTCCTCTTCTTCCGGCTCGACGACTCTGCACGCCGCAGCAAGAAACGGTCTCATCGTCATGTCGTGACCTGATGGTGGTCGATCATGTCGTCGAACACCTAGAAGAAGAGGCAGACCTTGGGTGGAGACGATGCGAAGAACCGAATCGGATTGGGAGGAGGAGGAGGTGACGGTGGCGTCGCTGTGCGGCGAGACGAACGGCGTGGCGGCGGCGGCGGCGGCGGGGTCGGCGATGAGGCGCTTGAGCTCGGCCTTGAGCGGGCCGAAGCGCCCCGGGTGCGCCGCTTCCAGCTTCTCCAGCTCCTCCCCCGCCACCTCCGCCATCCACCCCCACTCTCCCTCCCCCTCCGCCGCCGCCGCCATCGCCACCGCCCTCCTCGCCTCGCCTGGCTCTGCAGGCTGCAGCGCTGGGCTGGGCTGGGCTGGGAGGCTGGGAAGCGCGCGGGTTCTTGTGTTGGGCGCGGCGCGGCGCGGCGCGGAGCGGGAGAGGAGAGGGAAAGACCGGAGCCGAGGCGCGCGCACTGCGCACTGGCGGTGGCGGCCTCGATTCCCGCGGCTTTTGGTCTGTGTCGTGTTGCTTCTTTCGTGGCATGGCAATGGCATTTGCATGGGTGTCGCGCGAGGCGAGGGTTGCATTGCTCTCAGGTTTCCTTTACCGCCGGGGTACGTTAATATAAATACCGCGGTAACCTCCTTAAATTTAAATAAATTTAAAAAATAATTTAATTTTTTGATAAATTTTACACGGTTTTTTACGGTTACCGTGGTTGGTATCCGCGCTTACCGTCAGGACGCGGTAACCCTGCTCCGACGGTTTTGGAAACCCTGGGTGCTGCACCGCACTACTCCAGTGTAGTGCGCCACCACACTGCACATCTGCACCAAGCTCGGGAAACGGTATCGAGATTGGCTCGCCGCTGCACCCAAGATCATTTACTCCTCTGTCCCGGAAAGAAGCAGCAGCAGAAGGGTGTGGTGAGCTATACTGGCTCTGTAGTACTACTGGATACTGTATCGCTTGGTCAAAGACAACTCACGAGATGTCAAGTTAAAGATGTGCCATACCACTTTTTTTAAAAAAATTTAAATAATACTTTTTTTTTGTTTCATAATGTAAAATTTTCTAGTATTATTTATATTCATATAGATATTAATAAAGCTAAAAAGTATAAAATGGAGGGGTAGATGTGATGGTTTGATTTCAAGTCAATTTTCGGTAATACTACCTCCGTTCTAATATAATGCTACAAATCTGGATAGTATATGATGCGTTCACAACTTGACATCCAATACTTGAGACGGAGGGGTACTTGGGTGAATGCATGCTGCAGGTGCAAGCCACGTCAATCACAACCACCGTCAATTCCATCCCTGATTCATTCACGGAATGGTACGACGCAAGTTTTAAAAAAATTTTGAAACAAATTTCAGAAGTTCCTTTTTTACGAAAACCAATTTTATATTTTTTTTGGTAGTATATTTCAGTTACTCCATCTGTTTTGAAATATTTTAATGGGAATTGAGAAAGTATGTGTATTTGAATTCTTGAATTTTGTGATTACTGTTGATAGAGAAGGTAGATTGAGAAATTAAATAGGAAATTGTTGTGATTTCTTAGGATGAGAGGTAGCTAAAGAAATAGCTACATTTAAGATAATTTAAAATTTTAGGACTGATTGAGGGAGTACGCTACTTCAGATAGGTGAGTCTAATGTGCGCACGTACTGCACGATAGGATCTAATATGAGTGTAACCTACCGGAGATTACAAAAAAGAAAGTAGTTGTGCGAGACAGCAGCTTACAAACGTTGTAGCCCATATGTATAATCACAATCCGAGTCTAAAATCAGTCCACGTGTTGATGTGTAGGCCGACGAACGCCTGGCCGGATCATTTATATGCAAACATTCAGTCCGTGTAAAGTTGCAACCACTAGCTTCAAGCATAATGAGCAATTTATTGTCCCAGATATTTATATGTAGTAATTTTATACATACAAACTCTACACATAAAAACTTTATACACATGAATTTTATACATAAAAAATATACACACAAACTTTATACAAATAAATTTTATAATTTAAACCTTTATACTAGCTTTATTTTTAAAACTTTATGCATATAAACTTCCTATGTAGAAATATTCCAGTACCTAAACTTTGTGCAAAATGAATTTGGAGTATATTTTAAAAATAATATGTTAACAAAACAATATAGCGTCTATACTATTGTTTAAGCTGTTTTTAAGAGAGGATTGAAGAATAGTGAGATATTACCTAAAATAAGGTGTGACGTTTGCGCATGATTTATTAAGTATAAATTATTTCATTTTTTTAAAAAAAGAGCGAATATGACTTTTTAAAATAATTTCATGTGCTAATTCGGTCCCAAAAGTCCTAAAATAAATTAATCTATTATGAGATATAACATATCATATCATAGTATTACGAATTTAAATAGATATACTTGCTTAGATTCATGTGATATATCATTTGTCTAAATTTATAGTATTAAACTTATAATATTAAGATATACATATCTCGTATTAAATTAACTTATTTTATAATGGAGGGAGATTAATGGGAAACGCACGCGCGAAAAACGTCTACGAAGGGAAAGAGTGATTTTGAATGCTTTACTAGTTCTTATCCGGTGATCCGTGATTGTAGAGAAAAAAAAACCGAGGTATGTGTGACAGGAAGTTAAGAGCACCCGCAGTGGTAAAGTAAGGTGCTCTCTATAATAAAACATGTACATCTCAGCAATAGACTGGATTAATAGTAAACCATCTCAATAGTATGTCTACATGGGTATCTACAGTTCTCTAATCCATTGCCTCGTTTTTCTCTATAGACTATCTCTTAGTAGATAGTTTTGCTCTCTTTCTTCATTTAATCTCTTCCAAGTAGAAAAATATGTTAACATGTATTTTTGTAGAGAGCCTATAGATAATCATTATGGGTGCCCTAAGAACAGTACAACCGGTTGCCCTAAACTTATATACTGATCGTGTCACGACTCACGACGACCGCGTCTCTGCCGCTGCCATACGACAACTCGCCATGTCCGGCGGCGGCTGCACGCGCGGCGCGAAGCCGCCGCGTCGCGTCGACCCCAACATCAGCCGGCCACCAGCCCGCGCCGCCGTCCTCCCCACGCACACCGTCTCGCCCGGCGACGGCGCGACCGCATCAAGCCACCTCTCCATGGCGCCGGTCGTAGCGATCGTGCTGTGTACCCTGGTCACCATCGCCGCCATCCTCTTCCTCAGCTTCTTCGGCTCATGGATGGGCCCCGTCGTCTCCATCGACGGCGTCACCGCCACGGGGCTCGACGCCGCCGGCGCCGCTGGGAACGCCACCACCACCACCATCTCCCCGTCCTTCGACGTCGCCGTGCGGGTCAAGATGCAGCGTTTCCACCTCGCGCCCGGAGGCGTACGCGAGGGGCTCCGTCGCCGTGTCGTGCGCGGGGGGCGCGGTCACCGCGCGCGGCGAGCTCCCGGACTTCCTGCTCTACGTCACCTCGCCGTCCGTGGTGTCGGCGACGGCGCGCGCCGCGCCGCCCACCACCGCGCTGTCCGCCGGCGCGCGCGGCCGCCTCGCCGGCGAGCTGCGGCGCGGGGAGGTGTGGCTGGACGTGTCCGTGTCGTACCGGAGATCGGAAGACGACCCTGGCTCGATGCTGAGCAACGGGTTTCGCGCAATGTGCGCCGCCACGGCGTCGCTCGGCCATGGGAATTCAACGGCGACAGCGGTGGCGGCGGCGGCGGCGGCGGCGTGCACCGTCGTGAAGCAGTAGCCAAACCTAGTCATTACTACAAATCTAGATGATGCCTGTAGATACTGTGATATTAATCGGGTAGATTAGCCATACTTATCGGTAGCAATAGCATCGTGTACATAATTTTTTTGTGAGAATTCGGCAATGTAGCAATAGCATTATGTCGAATTGTCGATGAATCTTTGGTGAGAATTCGGCAATGTGCGATTTGCTCGTGGACATTAGTTCATGCTTATTTTTTCTTGTGTCATCGAAGAAGCTTTCTCTATCAATTTAGGAGATAAAACATAGTATACCTGAAGGACGCGACTATAACGAGAGTGCTAGCTGGATAGTGCTAAAAAGATACACCATTCTTTCAAAAAAAAAGCTACTAGTACACTCAATATCTATGTATTTTTTTTCCTTCTTAGAGAAGTTTCTCTTAAATTACTTATCTGATTATGCCGTTGTGTTCGTTACAATTAAATCTTTGCAACAAGATCTCACATGATTATATTTTGATGAAAAATCACAAATTACTTTTATGATATGTCTAAATTATTTTTAGATTTCACTAAATTACTTCTTAAACTATAAAAGTAAATTCAGTAAGTCTAAAAGTAATATATATATATATATATATATATATATATATATATATATATATATATATATATATATATATATATATATTATAGAAGTAACTTAGAACAAAATGAAAGTAACTTTGGCATGTTATTTAAAGTAAATCCGTTGTAGAGATAAAAACATGACTCTATCTGGAAATTAAATTAATCAGCACAAATTATGGAATTAACTAAAAAGTCATATTTATCCCTACAACGAATTTACTTCTAATATCATGATAAAGTTACTTCCGTTTTGTGTTAAGTTACTTTTATAATATATGTAAATTACTTTTAGACTTTATTGAATTTAATTTTATATATCTAAGAAGTAATTTAGTCAAATCTAAAAGTAACTTTTATATATATATATATATATATATATATATATATATATATATATATATATATATATATATATATGATAAAAGTAATTTACAAATATAAATATTTTTTCATCGTAACATAATCATGTAAGATCTTGTTGTGAAGATTTAATTGTAACGAACACAATGGTGTAATCGGATTGTAGATCGGATAAGTAATTTGAGAGGAAACTTTATTTGAATAGGAAAAAGACACCCACATGAACTTTATTTGAAAGGAAAAAGACACCCACGTGGATGGACATCATGACGACGTGCACAGTTAGATGGCTCTGAGATGCGTCGCGCTATAGAGCTAAACCGAGAGCGATCTCGAAATAGATTTCGCGATACCTAAAGGATGACAACAATATATCATGTGTACACAAGTTTTGCGTGCATACAAACGGTACACACAAATCAAACAAATATCACCAAAATTCTATAAAAAGGGCGCATACTTCCAATAGTTCTCTTAGCTATTATGTAAGTAAATTTGGTGACATAGAAGAGAGAGAGGGGAGGAAAGGAAAACATCAAATTTAGTGTACTCTTAGCATTTACTAAAGGTTCTCCTCCTATACTCTGTTCCATTCGCTTTGTCTTTTTGCTATCTTTGTACATACATTTATTCCTTCTTAATACAAAGATGCGCTCCTTACGTATTCCCATATTTTATTGCAGGGAAGGAAGAAGAAAAGAAAATAGGTGTAAAACGAAATTATTTTGGTGCATTTATAGTTATAAGAAACCTCGTTGTCTCAATTGTATAAGGATGGTTTTTAAGTCACATTACTATTACTAACATATCCTACCAGGACTCTATTTTATGATATATCTTACTAGAAAACTCTTATATAGAATATGCATAGCGTCGTAGGAAAAGCACAGCCGGTAGCCCTAAGCAAGCCGATCGTGTCAGGACGTGCGCGTACTTCTCCGTCGCTGTTACGCCGATTAGCGCCATGACCGTCAGCGGCGGCGGCGGGCGGCACCGACAGCATGCGCGGCGCGAATCCGCCTCGCGTCGACCCCAACGTCCGGCCAGCCAAGGCCAGCCAAGGCGAATCCAATTCTGCCACATGCTACACTGCTGACTTCAAACGACCGCCGAATCTGCATACGACCTCCGTTTTCGGCACATGAGTACTTGATGGAAAGCTCTCGGAGCCCTCTTTCCAACGGATCCAGCCTCATCTCCGAATTCCATCTCGTGTGGCCGGAATCACACGCACAAGGTGCTGCGTCATCTATAATGGGCCTATGGGCTTGTAACTTCATTTGGGATCCCGGCCTAGGTGGGGCCCATGTGGGGTGCGCCCCAACCAGGTGGAGCACGACCCTAGTCACCCCTAGGTCATCCTCCCACCCCTATTTATATAGCTAGGTACCCCGATCAACGAAAGCTCTGATACCACCTGATGAACTCTGAGTTCCTCTCGACACTCAAGGCTGTTGTTGGCCCGATTTTTCGGTGAGTTGTGATAACTACGATTTGAGAGAAACGTTGACGATCCGACTACAACCGTACATGGGCCCATTGGGTGGGAGGACGATCTAGGGGTACCTAGGGTCGTGCTCCACTTGGCTGGGGAGCACCCCACATGGGCCCCACCTGGGCCGGGATCCCAAATGAAGTTACAAGCCCATAGGCCCATTATAGGTGACGCAGCACCTTGTGCGTGTGATTCCGGCCAAGTGTAGCAGGTGGCCAAATTGGATTCGGTACTTGGAGGACTCGAACTTGATATCTTGTTGTTCATCCATGATGTGAGCAACGGATGTATCCGTAGTAGCCATGGTCACATCATGCCGGCGACGTCGCGGCCGCGCCAAACACGAGCTCCGTGGAACGCGGGGTGACCGTGCTGTTGTCCGTGGCCTTCGTCGTCGCCGTCTTCGGCGTCTTGCTGTTCGGGGTCTGGATGAACCCCATCGTTTCCATCGACGGCGTCTCCGCCACGGGGCTCGACGCCGCCGCCGGGAAGAACGCCTCCGCCGCCACCACCGTCTCCCCGTCGTTCGACGTCGCCGTGCGGCTCAGGCGGAGGTGGTTCCGCCTCCTCCCGGACACGTACACGAACGGCACCGTCTCCGTGTCGTTCGCCGGCGCCGGGGGCGCGGCCGTCGCGCGCGGCGCGCTCCGGGACGTCACGCTGACCGCGTTCTCCCCGTCCGTGGTGTCGGCGACGGCGCGCGCCCCGCCCACCGCCCTTCTCGCCGCCGGCGAGCTGCGGCGCGGCGGGGAGGTTCGCCTCGACGTGACGGTGTCGTACGACAGATCGCAAGTGCACGAGCCCTACTCGCCGCTCAGCCATGGGTTCCGTGCCATGTGCGCCGCGACGGCGCTCGGCGGAGGGAACTCGACGGCGGCGGCGTCGTGCACCGTCGTGAGGATACCCAGCCCTAACGACCTCTCGTGGTTCCAATAACGACTATAATTACAATGTAATTATAACTACTAGTTACAGTATAATCATAATGTAATCACACAATTATAGTTGCAAGTGATCTGGTAGATTAGCCATGCATACTAATCAGTAGCGATAGCATCATCTGGATGAATTTTTGGCGAGAATTCGGTAACATGCGCGGTTTGCTCATGGAGATGTTCGTCCAATTCTTAGTTAAAGTAAATTTCACAATTCTTAGTCCATATCATTAATTCATCATCTTTGGATTTTACTTCGGATTCGTCGTACACTTCAGCGTCAGCTCCGGCGAACCACCGATGCCTGAGCGCGGCGGCGGCGGTCAGCCTCTCGCCGGGATCGAACGTGAGAAGCCCCCTCAGGACGTCGAACCCGTCCCGCGACAGCAACTTCTTCCAAACCACTCGTTTTCTCAGTCAAGTACTCACGTTCCATAAAAATAAACTAAAATTTAAAATTTTGACAATCTATCCAGATTTTATCAGTTTACCGGCGTATCCAGATTTTATCAGTTTACTCGGTTTATCAGTCAAGATAAAGAAATAAGGTAAAATTTAAAATTTTGACAAAATTTATCCAGAGTTTTCTTGTCTTTTATGGGTCTACCGGAGATACTAACTCGTGAGTGGTATCGGGATTGTGAACCTTGTTATTACATTCCAATTCCTCGAGGACAAAACAGTACAAACAATGAGTGAGACAGGCAGAGATATGAGAGCGCCTGAAGATGAATTCTGTCGACGACGAAAAAATCGACATATGTTCAAGCAAACAAGAATTGCTATGATAAAATGAAGAGAATCACAGCGTGGCAAACGCCTATAATACAAGTTCACTCATCTAAACCACCTCTCTCAGAACATAACTGCAAACGTCCATGCACCATCTTCAGATTTAACTGCGGGCGATGGTAACAAACCTATTGATACAAAAGGGCCAAAGTTTTTGAACCAAATGACATTAGCATTCCAGGATTTACAGTGACTGCATGTGTACTTGTCCATATTCATTTAAACAACTCGTTACTACCCCATGTCGTCACTGCTGGAACGAAATGGAGTACGAGCCTGTGTTTGGGTCTTTAACAGCTTTGAAATTGTCGACGCTCATCCCAAAGCGCCCGAGCACAGAATTCCCCAGATCTTTGAGCTTTCCTGCAACAGAGAAAGATATTCACAAATTGAGATACAGAAAAGGTTTTTCACTAGGTCAAGAGTTATACAGAAGCTTTGCATGGCTCAGGATATCATAACACATCTTTTCTGACCAAACGTTATATAAACAATTTAGAACTTCATTATGTTGCTTGCACATACTATACCAGTGCACTCCATATAATCAACCAGGTAAAACTAGTTTGGATGAACTGGAACTAACTAGCACAATTAGAAAAAGAAAATGAAAGATGGATTTACATAAAGGTTGCCTGAGTACAGCAACACAGACTACACCGAAATCATAGGAGTAAATGCACACAGTACTCTGAAATTTGAGAAGAAACTATTACCGATCATCTCTTCCTTCATCTTTTCCCTTTTCTCAGCTGCCAGTGGCTCCAGTCGGAACAGTGATCTCTTAGCTTGTTCATTTGAAGGATCCAGCTCAATAATTTTTTTCATATCTGAGATGAGGATTACACCCAGCACAAGAGGACTTAAACAATATGGCATCGGAGCTAAATACTCACAGGTAATAGTAATAATAATAGTGTGAAATAGTCTCTAAATCTAAAGCACGTTATGAGAATAATATCTAACCAGCAATAGCTTCATCATAGTGTTCAAGCTTTTCATGTGCTTCTCCCCTCCGGAGCAAGGCTTTCAAGTATGAAGGATTCAGCTCAAGTGCTTTGGTGCATTCTTTGATTGTTTCATCATATTTGCCCTAAATTACAGGGTGTTAGCATTGTGGTTTTATTATAATATGATATTACTCAAACAAAACAACTGGAGAAAAATAATCTGCTGATAAAGAAAATAAAATGCCATTAAAGTAAAACTAAAGAAATAATGGTTGATTTCAACTACCAAACACCAGAAAAAAAAAAGGCCTAGCCTAGCATTTTATCCAGGCATAACTCTCTATTATACTTTGGAAGCAAGTTTATACAAGGAATAAAGAAATAGGCATGTAGCCACTGTACATTAAGAAGGATAACTGGTTTTTAGGAGAAATCTATAGTTAAAGGGGTAAATATACTGATGGTAGGGGACTAGGGGTAACATATTAATGAAATAAGCACATCTACCATGATCCTGTTGCGAATTCACATAAGGAAAATTATTACTGATGACAACCAAATGGAAATCATCTATTTCCTCCATATTTAAAGACCAATAGAAAGGCTTACCAACTTCAAGAAGCATACAGCACGATTTGAATGACATGCGGAGCGTATGTCTTCGGCAGATTCCAGCTCAGCAGCAATTTGCAAAGCTGTCTCATATTGCGACAATGCCCTCTCATATTCTCCAGCACCAAAAAACTTGTTCCCTTCTGCCTTTGCATCATTTGCTTGGCTTCTAGCTTTCTACAGGAAGTAGGAAGCACAATCATTTATCAGAATGCAATAAGCTTATAAATCTCTTCACCAACATACAAGTTATATCTAATCCCAACCATGTCAACAAGGTCCAAACAATAACGTCCATTTAGAAACTATAAACTGGTGAATCTAATTACTGTTTAGCATGTAGCGGCTAGCAGCTAGAACTAGACTGCTAATCTATCATAACAACAAATTTTAGTTGTCGGTTTGGTGCTAGTACCTAGCTTTGTATTTGTCAAGGGTCAGAACCAGGTGATACTTGTGTTGCAAAAAGGATAACTGCTATGGAAACTGGGACAGCAAGTGAAGCATCAAGCACTAGTTCTACCTAGCACATAATACTACCACACGACTTCTTAAGCACCAACTTTGTGTTATCTCATATGCATATGAACAATTGCAGTTAAACCGCCCTGATTGCAACTGTTCCAAACTAGAGAATGAGAGAACAAAATAATCACCTAATAAGACCTTAAGATCACAGAATCACGCCATCGTAGAAACAAGGAGGTTTTTACCTGTGTGCCATTAAAAAAGATAACCCCTGCCCCTGTGCCACTAAAAAGTTCGAGCCTCCCTCTATGCCATCGTCGAACTTTATCGCGCCCTTCACACCACTCCGTTCGTTTTTGGTCCTAACGGTGTGTGACCGCGCAGCCAAATGACTTATTTGCCCTTAGAGAGATAGGGGAGAGTGTGAAATGGGGCTAGATGAGAATCGGATTCCTCCTCCACCGCCATGGATTCGCCGTCGCCGGCTCGCCGCCGCAGCCAACGGCGAGCGCTTCGAGCTTCGCCGCAACGGGGGCGACCCCAGGGAGTCCCTCCTCGAGTTCCTCCGCTCCCGCACCCGGTTCACCGGTGCCAAGCTCGGCTGTGGCGAAGGCAAGGCAACACAAACCATCTCCCCTTCCTCCTCGGCTGCTTTGCTTCCGTTCGATCGGCTTCGGCGAGCGAGCTTGATGGTTTCTCGGTTTTGGTATTTTTACAGGTGGTTGCGGGCGTGCGTGGTGGTGGTCTCAGCGTACGACGCGGAGGTCGACGAGGTGACGCACGCGGCGGTCAACTCGTGCCTCACGCTGGTGCACGGCCTCCACCACTGCGCGGTGACAACCACCGAGGGGCTCGGGAGCAGCCGGCGTGGGAAACAAATTGCTTCGATTAGTACTTCATCACGCATGAAATCGACAGGAAACTGGATGGATTAATTGGATTGAAACAAACAACAATCAAACTCTGAATGGATGTTCAATCCAAGCTGAACGAGCGGGAGGAAGAGCTAATAGGGAAGAAGAACGAAATATCTTCAATTCGATTCGATTCGAACCGCAATGCAATGGAGGGAGATTGATTGTTGTTTGGGGCCGCCGCGGAGGGCTTCTCGAGGCTCACGGCGGCCGAGGCGGAGCGCGCGGTGGCCGGGAACCTGTGCCGCTGCACGAGGTCAACGGGAGAGCTTCACGGTGACCGCCGCGAGCAAGAGCTTCGCCGCCATCGTCGCCCGTCGCCGCAAATCGGGAGCAGCCGCGGTGGCAATGTTGGTGAAGTGGAGGCGAGGAAGAGGGCGTGCAGCCGTTGCCAACCCGTACCCCTCCACGCCCTCTTTCGGCGGCTGCGACGGCGCCGTGGGTCCGATGCTCGGCGGCTGCGACGGCGCCGTTCTCTCTCTGCGCGGCTTGACCGCCGTGCTGGCTCGCCTTTCATCCTGTGCGCACGACCGTGCTGCCATGCCGCCGCACTCAACTGCGTCGGCCGCCGCCGCGTCGCCTTCGCGCTCTCTCTCTGTGGCGCACTTGAGGCAAGCAGAGACTAGAAGGGCAAGAGCGACATTTTTTCTGCATGGGCCCACATGTCAAAGCTGCCAAACGGTTAAACCCAAACAGAATAGCGACGGAGTGGTGTGGAGGGCGCGATAAAGTTCGACGATGACATAGAGGGAGGCTCGAACTTTTTAGTGGCACAGAGGCAGGGGTCATCTTTTTTAATGGCACGCAGGTAAAAACCTCATAAACAAGAGAGCCAGCTACGAAAATGCATATTAATAACTGCACAAAGTAACAGATTGGCCGAAAATAGAAATTCTCTCCGCAAGGATATGAAAGGAATTAGCACTAAACAACCTCATTAGACCATAGCCCATTTACTAACCCTTGCACCGTACTCTAGTAGTCTAGTTGTTCACATCATTAACTCTAAAGAAGCTAAAATGAAGAAGTGGGGGTACATCCCTATCCACAACCAAACCTGCCCTAAACCCAAGTGTACCAGTGGAATTCTCGGCAGTAATCAGAAATTTTCCAATCTATTCTTCCATCTCAACTCCCCCAGATAGAGGGAAAAAAATCGATCCCCACAAAACCCTCGGTGACTAATAGAAGTTACTGCTGCTACCATCGGAACCCCAGATTTCCCTAAGATTTAGGTACAGCAGTTCGGGGCAACAGCGAGAACGGAGATAGGGAGGGGGATCGAGTGGACGGGACGCCCCAAGGCACTACCTCCCGGAGCTGCTCGTCGGTCAGCGCGTCCTCGAAGGCCTCCTCCTCGTCTTCCCCATCCGCCCTCGCCGCCTCCCCTCCGGCCGCACCACCCGCCGCCTGCTCCTCGGCAGCCGGCTCCTCTGCCGCCGCCGGCGTCTCCTCGACCTCCGGCTCCTGCTCGATCACCACCATCACAGCCCCTGCTCGCCGCCTCGCGGGGTTTAACGCGGCGAGCACCAAGACAAGCTCCCTCAGCGACCGACGCGTCGCCGGGGGAGGAGGAGGAGAGGGGGGCAACGCGGCGGCGCGGTCGAGCTCGACGGCGAGGAGGCGGCGGCGGCGGGGGATTCGATTCGATCGATCGATCGGCTCGGGGTCCCACCGACACGAGGAGGCTTCTGGAGAAGTAGGCCAGTCTAGAAGGACGGACACTGACAGGTGGGGCCCAAGTGTAAAACCGTCTTTGCAAGTGGACCAGGCCCAGGAAGCGAATGATAGAGAGATAATAGTTTACTTGGGCCTTTCCACACAAGTCAGCTCGGCCTATTACTGTGAGGAAAAAGTACACCCAAGGTCCCTTAACTTGTCCTCGAGATACAAAATCGTCCTCAAATCGCAAAACCAGATATCCCGCGTCCCTTAACTAATCAAAACCGGTCATAAAAAGTCCCTCGGTGGTTTTGACACTGGTTTTAGCCTACGTGGCGGCTGAGTCAGCGTGGGACCCACGTGAGCCCCACATGTCAGCGTAATCCACGTTTCACCCTCCTCTTTCTCCTCTTCTCTCTTTCTAGGCGAGGCAAAGCGGCGGGAGGCCAGCAGGTGAGGCGGGAGAGAGGAGGGCGGCAGCGCCGCAATGGGGGCCGGCGGTGCAACGGCGGCCGGCGCCTGGCGGCGGAAGCTGCAGCTGGGAAACACGACGACGAGGGAGAAGGGGAGCACGGCGGCAGCCTCGATTCGTTCCGACTCCCTCCCATCGCCGTCTTTTCCTTTTCCTCCAAATCCAACCCCCTCCTACCCCTTCTCCGGCGCGGCGGCGGCGGTGACGACACCAGAGGGCGGAGGCGCCGACGCTCCCTCGGCTCGCCAAATGGTAACCCAGCCATTCCTCTCTTCCTCCCTCCTGCTTCTGTTCTGAATGAAAAAAAAATCAAAAAACACGATCAATCTGCAGCTATGGGCAACCTGGGGGGCGGCGCCGAAGCGCACGCGCGTCTTCTCGCTCACCGACGACGTCCTTGTTTAAGGTGGAAAATAACGTCTACGAGGTCGGTGCCGCGCCGCACACCGCGCGTCCGCCGTTGCGATATGCCGGAGTGACCTCCTCCAATTTTCCTGCATATAAGAAGCAATCGATAGAGATAAACTTGATTTATTATTGTTCGTTTTGTTGCTGGGCCATAGTCCAGTGACAATAATTTAACTTGTTCCTATATTGCCGGGTTTGGAACTGCCTTTGCATGGTGCATGCACGCATGAAGTGACAAGCTAGCTAGCCTCCACACCGTCGCTGCCGCCGCCAGCAGCTCACTCGATTCCTCGCGCGCAATCCTGATGCCGCAGTGGTCAACCCCGCCGTGGTGCTCGTCCTTTCCGCCGCCGACCTCCGCGCTATCGGCATCTCTGCCCTGTGAGGAGGTCGCCGCCGGCCTCCCCGCCCCCCTTGCTTGCCCTACCTCCTCCCTCGACAGCGGCCTGCCTTCGCGCCTGCGGCCTCTGCAACGGCAGGCGAGAGCGGTGGCGGAGCGGCGGCGGCAGCGCGTCGCCAGTCGCTAGCCGCCGCCGTCGTGTCGCCCGTCGCCGGCCGCTGACGCCCTCGTCCTCTCCTACCTCGCCCCGCCGAAGGCAGTAGCCACCGACGTCCTCCCCAGCTGCCTAGTGCCTACCCAGACGAGAAGAGTGAGAGAGGGAGGAGAAAGGGAGAGGAGGGGAGAGGATATGACGTGGCCAGCTGACATGTGGGGCCCACATGGGTCCCACGCTGACTCAGCCGCCACGTCGGATAAAATTGGGTTGAAAACCACCAAGGGACCTTGGGTGACTGATTTTATATAGCTGAGGGACCCCACATATCTGGTTTTACGGTTCGAGGATGTTTTTTTATCCCGATGACAAGTTGAGGGACCTTTGGTGTACTTTTTCCTTACCGTGAAATTGTGAATGATCCTGAAAAATAAACAGGAAGTGCAGTTCACTTTAGGTACCTCAAACGGGTGATACCCCTCTTCATTTAGTTCAAGCTACGCCCTGGACACCCTGACAAGAATGGTCGTCTTCTTCGTTTTGGTCGTCTCCCTTCGCCATCCTCCACGGCTCAAGCGTGTCCTTTCCCACCAGCGCGTGCACGCGGCACAGAGCATGCTCTGGAGCTCAACGATGCAAGTCTGCGCGGCACAACTTCCTCCAGTTTCATAATTCAGCAGACTCCCTCCGTACTCAAATGAAGTAATTTAGGATAATATTTAAGTCAAGCATTGAAAATATAAATCATGAATAACTCTCAAGTTGTTAAGTTTGAAAATATAAAACTTATATGAATAGATTTGTCTTGAAAAAAACTTTCATAAAAGTTTTCATAAAACTTTTCATATATCACTTTTCAATAAATATTTTTGGAAAAAGTACGAATTATCTCCCCGAACTATCGCGGTTGAGTGAATTACCCCCTGAACTCGAAAACCAGATATTACTCACCCCGAACTTTTTATAACGGCCGAATTACCCCCTCGACCAAATCCAGAGCGGTTTTATCCTACGTATGGCGTACGCGTGACAATCCAGTCAGTCTTTCCTTTTAAAATAATAGTGGGACCCACATGCCGCGCAACCGGAAAAAAATTTGGTGCAGACCTGATGCAAAGGTCCTCGTCTACAGCCCCGTCCCCGATGGCCAACACGTGTACACGTTGCGGATCCAACGATAGGCCTGGGAATTGGGCCTAAGCTGAGCGAGCCGTGCGCGATCCTCGTCGCAGTTGTTTGGAGCCGAGCTGTCTCCCGTCGGCTTCATGATCCCCTTCCTCATTGTCTCTGCCGCATGTCCCTCCGTCTCTCGTCACCAAGCGCCGCCGTATTCCTTGTTCTCCGCCGTCTTTGCCTCCCTCGGATGCCGTGTCCGTCCGCTGCGAAGAGGGGTTGGCCGCGTTGGGGAGGAGGATCGCTGTAGTCGGGGACCTCGGTCTAAGTCTAACATTCAGTTGTCGAGCGTCTGAGTTAAATTCTTGATCTCGAATTCTCGATGTCCGTCAAGCCAGTCAACCGCGCGCCCGCGCCGCCCTCTATGACCATATAAGCAAATCATGCATGGAAATTAAAACCGAAACATTCGAACTCATCGATCATCAACATTCAACAACCGTACGCCTAAATCAAAGTGGCCACTCTGCTTGCGTCGATTACTAACAGCCGGCCGGCCAGATCACCGGTGATTAGCTTAAATACTTGTTGCCAAGGATGATGTGGAACTAGACAATGGTTGCTCCTCCTCAAAGGAGCAGCAGCCAAGCTTGAATGTTTGATTTCCGGCCTGAGGTCCATTGTAGCCGGCAGCTAGCTCTCACCACACCGCGTTAGTGCTGCATAAAGAGGAAGAAAGTTCGCGATGGCATTCTTTGGAAAGAGCTTCTCACCCTCCTCCAGCGGCCATGATCTTCAGCGCTCCTCCCCAATACGAGGAAAGCCTCCCGGCAGCTGGATCACGAGGAAGGCGGGTCGAGGCCATAGAAAACAAGGAAGTCGGGAGGAACGCGGCTGTTACGGCGGGAGCAGCGGCAGCAGTAGCTGACGCGGAAGGGGATCGTGGAGCCAACGAGAAGCGGCTCGGCTCCAGCCGGGTGTGAGTGCGATGAGGACCTCACGGGCCTCACACCTAGGTCTATCGTTAGATCCGTAACATGCACACGTGTCGTCCATCGAGGACGGGGCTGCAGAGGAGGACTTTTGCATCAGGTCTGCACCAATTTTTTTTCCGGCGCAACCGCGCAAGGCGTGCACGGCGAAGGCGGACCGGACCGGCCGGTGGCGGATGCGGATGCGGAGCTCGCCTGGGTGGTCGATGGCGGAGACGGGGCTCTCCTGGGCGTTAGGCGGCCAGTGGCGGAGCAGGCGGCGGCGGCAGCTGAGGCGGAGCTCGCTCGGGCGGCTACGGTGGCGGCGTCCCCATGGCAGCCACGGCGGCCGTGGCGTTGAGGAGACAGAGCTCACCCGGGCAGCCATGGCGCGGCATCCCCATGGCAGCCACGGCAGTGTTGAGGAGATGGAGCTCGAGCTCGCCCGGGCAGCCACGGCGCGGCGTCCCCATGGCTAATAAGTAACAATCACCTTAGGAGTCGTGGTGCGGGAGATGATGAGGATGACGGTGACCAGTAGCTAGCCAGCCATTTTTCTATTTAAAACGGAAATCTCAGAGAGCTAATAAAAGTGTAAAATATCAATCAAGCATTAGAATCCATTCGATTAGTTTGCTTTGTTTAATTTTACAGCACATTCAGGCAACAGGGGTGGACGACGATGGTGGATGACGATCGAAGATGCGTGGAGATGGAGACAGGCAGGAAACAGGGGTGGTCGATCGATATGATGAAGAATTAATTAGTAGAGCTTGACGCCGACGTAGTTGCCGGGCGGCCAGTAGCTGCAGACCATGATGGTGTCGCCGGAGGTGCAGACGACGCGACCGCCGCCGCCGCCGGTGGTGTTCTTCCAGACGACGGCGGTGTAGTGGGTGCACATCGTGCCGCCCTTGTAGCTGTTGGATTTGTAGTCGTAGCTGCGGACAACTCTGGATCTGAGGCCGCCCGGTCCGCCTCAGCCACATCACTGCCATGGGGACGCCGCGCCGTGGCTGCCTGGGCGAGCTCCGTCTCCTCAACGCCGCCGTGGTTTCCGTGGGGATGCCGCGCGCCATGGCTGCCCGGGTGAGCTCTGTCTCCTCAACGCCGCCATGGGGACGCCGCCGCCGTACCCGCCCGAGCGAGCTCCGCCACAGCTGCTGCCGCCGCCCGCTCCGCCACTGGCCGCCTGCCGCCCGGGAGAGCCCCGTCTCCGCCGTCGACCGCCCAGGCGAGCTCCACCTCCGCATCCGCCACGGGGCGCCTTGCGCAGTTGCGCCCGAGAGTGAGAGAGAGCGAGAGAAGAGAGAGAGAGAGGAAAAGGGGAAGAGAAGGCATGACATGTGGGTCCCACCATTATTTTAAAAGGATATGCTGGCTGAATTACCACGCGTGCGCCACGTAGGACAAAACCGCTCTGGATTCGGTTGAGGGGGGTAATTCGTCCGGTATAAAAAGTTCGGGGTGAATGATATCTGGTTTCGAGTTCAGGGGGTAATTCGGTCGACCGCAATAGTTTGGGGGGATAATTCGTACTTTTTCCAATATTTTTATAGAAACAAGAAGTCAAAGTTGTGTTTTGGAGACCGTGTCGCTGTCCAAAACAACTTCCTTTACAAGTATGGAGGGAATATCTTTGATTGATTTCTTATTATAATATAAAACTAGCAAAAGTGCCCGTGCGTTACACCGGGTGATTACAGAGTGTGTATATTGACCAAAAGTGTTGTTTGGTTTAGCAAAAGTGCCCGTGCGTTGCACGGGAAGCTTACATATCAGAAAAATATGCAATTAATTAAAATACAAATTCGCTGAAATATTTGGTACTTTTAAGTAGATATATGTGTGTAATTAATAAATTTACAAATAAAGCAAGTGTGAGAAATAAAATGACATGGTTAAATTTAATTTTATTAAATTCTCCATGATTAGTTATGCTCTTTGGAATTTTATTGGAATTTTCAGAGCTTAATTGCTAATTTTATTAATACAAACATCATTTAACAATTATTTAATTGAAAAAAGAAAGAAAATACTTCCTTTTATGTTTGCTTCGAAATAAACATATTCAATATAACTATAATTGTAATGCTTCTGAAAAAATGAGCACTAAAAATGAACTTATTCTCTTTTTTTCGGCCCAAAGGATCTAAAATAGACTTATTTCCGACCGTTGCCATCGGCCCACGGTCTTTTGCGCACGCGCGGGCGCACTTTTACTCCCCAGGCCGCAACCTGGGCTTGGGCCGGAAAAGTGGCCTCACTCTCGATCCCTCTTGGGTCGATTTCGGTTCGGACGACACCAGCCGTCCGATCTCTAGGGTTTTGATTGGATGGCCAAGCGTCGATATCGGGGAAACAAAACCCCCTCCCTCTCAGCCGCCGAAACCCTAGCCCATTTCCCTTCCTCCCGTCTCACTTCGCCGCCTTCCCCTCCGCGCCCCGAGCGGCGGCGGCGCTGCCCCTACCACCGACGGCGGCACCCTCCCCCACCACCGGCGGCGGATCTAGCGGGAGGGGAGGCACCCCACGAGCGGCGGCGACGGCGCCCCTCCTCCCGCGAGCGGCGGAGCCCTCCCCCACCACCGGAGAGCGCCCTCCGCCACTGCCGCCGGCGGATCTAGTGGGAGGGGAGGCGGCGGCGGCGGCGACCCCCTTCGATCTAATTTTTTATTTTTATTTATATATATGTGTGTGTACATGCATCATGCTATCTTTAATTATATTTGTGTGATTGAACTCCAATTGTGATTTTTTTCCGGGGTTTGATTGGATTCGGATTGGGATTTTGGGGGGAGAGGGGGGGGGCCGACGAAGCGGGACGAAAATAGATGTGACGACCAGAAAAATACGAATATTTATATTAGTTATAGATAAGTAAATATTTAATTTTATTAAATTATTTTTTAGACTAACCTATACATCATGTTGTAGTGTCTTTAAAGTCTTTAAACTAAATACTTTAGAAAATACTTTACAAATATTGATATTTAAAGGTATAATTATTAGACCTCAACCTTATCCAAAATGTTAAAACTTATAAGACTGGAAAGAGTATTGATAATTAATGGATGATTGGTATCCACACCAATCAACTTGTCATTGATGTACCAATTGACATGTAAATTATGTTCCGACACTCGAGTTTCGAACAATATTACAGTTTTTAGTCAACAACACCCCACCACAACTCCATAAGCTTACAGCTCTTGTACTAAGGGCCACTCAACGGCAGCGTGGGGCAAAATATAGCTTAGTAACGGTATTTAGTGGAGTAGTCCTTGGGAGCAATCACCAAACCACGCCCTTTGCGAGCACCTCTGTAGACGGTCTCCACAATGTCGATGAACTCCTGCTTGTCCTTCAAGGCCCAGTTGATCTTGTTGTTGTTTCCTGTCCCCAGATCAATCATGATGTGCTTGTTGCGGAAGAAGAACATCACCGTCGACGGATCATACAGCTCGTACATGGTGTTGAAGTCTGGAACCTCGGTGATGTCGACCAGGTAGATGACCGCAAAGTTCTTTATGGTCTCAGCTACTGCCGCTAGCACCTCATCCATCTAAAACATACACAAGTAGGGATTCAGAATCAGTTTAAATTGATGAAGCAAAACATGTTCATGATGTGGAAATATTTTGCATAAAGTATTGAAAATTTTAAAACTAAAGCTACTGTATCGGAAAGGAAAAATAGCATACATTACGCGAAGGTGCAATACCTAATGGCAACCTTTACTTCAATTTCATCGCTCAACTTCCTCAATAGAATGGTGAGCAAAGGTGCCATACCTAATGGCTACCTTTACTTCAATTTCAACAATCAATTCATGCTATCTTCACCTGTTGATCAGGTTGTAAGTAATCTAGCCCTTGTATTTGATCTATGAAATCAAAAGCTTTACACTCCCAAAAAAACAGCCAGTTCTGTTCCAACTTCAGACGGACATCATCATAAGGATATGGCAATCAGATTGTAAGTTATCAAGGTATCTTGTATTAAATGAAAAAGTTTCATACTCCAAGATAACAGAATCATAATATACTCTACTTCTGTTCCAACTTTGGACAGATTATCATCATAAGAAATTTAGGATATGACATTCCGAAGACAAAATAACGGTAGTTTCATCACCACGCTATTAGAACAGATTATCATCATAAGGAATTTCGGATATGTTCCCATTATTACTTGGCAAAACAACTAGCCTGCCCCTAAACTTGTGGTGTGGTGTCACTTAGGTCCGTGAACTTAAAAATTGCATGTTTAGGTCCGTGAATTTGGTTTAATGTACCACTCCCGGTCCAATCGTTCTTTCACCATGTTTGACCGCCAACGTAGCATGCCACGTAGGCAACACTTTTATACTCAGCTCCCTCCACATATACCTTCGCACATAACTTGCCCTGACCAGTGCATTTCAACCCAAATCCCCCCAAATATCCCTAAATCTGCTAGGGTTTCGACGGTGAGGTTAGCGGAAGGTGATCGAGAGGTAGCGGCTGTGGCGGCCTCGGCGGTGAGATTAGCGGCAGGAGGCAGCACAGTGCAGCGGGGTTAGCGGTGGCACAGTGCGGCCGGATTAGCGGCGGGAGGCAGCGCAATGCGTCTTGCCGTCTTGCATGCTACGCATCCCATGGATTCTCCAAGCTCGTCCCCATCTTGAAGTCGCCACAAGAAGGTGTTGTTGATCAAGTGCCCGTTGCGCAAGGATAAGGTCAATTTGGAGCGCAAAGTAATGGCAATTGCTAATCGGAATTACATTTTCTATACATGCAAGGAGAAGAATGAGAGGGAAGAATAATTTGAGAATTTTTTTGGGATTCTGTGTCACTATATAGCTACAAAGAGATATATGCGACGTGTTGTGATGTGGAGGAGGCTGAGAGCAAAAGTGTTGCCTACGTAGCATGCCACGTTGGCGGTCAAACACAGTCAAAGGACGTTTGGACCGAAATGGTACAGTAAACCAAGTTCACGGACCTAAACGTGCAATTTTCAAGTTCACGGACCTAAGTGACACCGCCACACAAGTTTAGGGACCGGCTATGTATTTTACTCTTTCACTTATTTGTACCATTGCTTTTATATATCGCAAAAATAATCATCAGTTGAGCTTACTAGCTAACACGATTAGCTGACGATAGACAATAATATACTCTAATCAGCTAAATTCTTAACCTATCTCAGTTATTAGTATTATTCAGTTATTTGTAAAAAAAAAATCATCAATTGAGCTTACTAGCTAACATGATTAGCTGACGACACACAATTTACATACTCTAAATCAGCTAAATTCCTACCGTTGTCAAATACACGGATAATTCTCGCCACAAGATCCTAAACCTCGCAAAGCTATCCAAATCGTCTCCGCAACAAATCTGCCGAACCCAACATCCACACAAATCACTCCCAACAACAACCCCCCCCCCCAAAAAAAAAAAATCGCAAATTCATCCGCAAGCAGGCACAGCAACCGCAACCAAACAGAACGCACGGAATCGAAGGATCGACGAAAGCCAAGAAGATAGGGTTTACCTGCATGCACGTCTCGTCCCAGTCGTGGCCGAAGCGGATGATGACGAGGCGCTCCTCCTCCGCGAGGATGGCCTGGTCCACCGCCCACCCCGAGTGCAGATGCGGCAGAAGGTACGACATCTCCGCCTCGCCGCCGCCGCCGCAAGCTGCTGCTTCTTCCTCCGCTTCGGCGACTCGCTGATGGATTCACGAGGAGATAGTTTGGGGGAAACGGAATGGGGAAAGAGGCCGCGACAGTGGTTGAAACGGAACCGCCTCGAAGACCACGGAAAGTTCTGGTAGGACTCGTATTGGGCCGGATCGGGCCGTGGGGGAACGGATTTTTGGGCTTTCTAGCCCAGTTTAAGTGGCCCTGTGGGCTTGAAGGCCCAAACCTTCTAGACTTGCAAACAATGGTGGAAAAAGTCCACTTAGACTCCCTTAATCGCAGGCCGAATCTAATTCGTACCCCTCAACCAGAAAACCGGACAGAACGACCCTCCGAACTATTGAAACCAGTGCAATTTGACTCCCTCACTGGTTTCGGGGGGTGGTTTTGCTGACGTGGCGCTGATGTAGCGGTGTTGACCCGGTCTTCGTCCCACGTGGCGCTTACGTGGGATTAGAATTAAAAAAATATCTGTGAGACCCATATGTCATTCAAAAAAAAAAACATAATGGGACCCACTGACATGTGGAGCCCACATGTCATCCTTTCTCCTCCCTCTCTCTCCCTTCTCTCTTTTTTCTCTCCCCCTTTTCTCTTCCCTTTCAGACGCCACGACGGCGCCGGCGCCGGCGGCCTCGTCGTCACCGGAGCTGGAGGCCCCCTCCTCCTCCTCCTCCTCCTCCTCCGCCAAGAGGCGCTTCTCGTCGTTGGAGTCGTCGGAGTTGTAGTCGTGGACGCGCTTGCAGAGCAGCTTGAAGATCCGCGACGGCAACGACCTCGCGGCCGCCCGCGACGGGAGAGAGAGAGGGAGGGAGAGAAGCGAGCCGGAGAGGGAGAGAGAGGCCACCCCGCGCGGCGCGCGCCCCTCGCCGTCGTCCACCCCGTGCGCCCTCGCCGTGGTGGAGGAGCCGTCGGCCACACCGCGCGCCGTCGGCGGCCCCGCGACGATCCGTGATGGCGACATCCTCGCGCCCGGGGTGGGGGACGGGGAGGGGTCGTCGGCACCGCCGTCCAGCTGTGACATGGCATGGATCGCCATCGACGTCGCCGTCGTCGGAGAGAGGGGAAGGGGGAAGAAACGTTGGGGAGAGGAGGACCATGTGGGCCCCACAGTCAGTGGGTCCTTGTATTTTTTGGTGTGTGAATGACAAGTGGGTCCCACACATCTATTTTTAATTCTAATATTACATAGGCACCATGTCAACGTCACGTGTGAAGAAGACCCAGTCAACACTGCCACGTAAGTGCCACGTCAGCGAAACCACCCTCCAAAACCACTAAGGGAGTCAAATTATATCGGTTTCAATATTTCGGGGAGTCATTCTATCCGGTTTTGTGGTTAAGGGGCACGAATTAGATTCGGCCGACTTTTAAGGGAGTCAAAATGGACTTTTTCCAACAATGGTAGAGCTAGCCGGGTCCAAAGTGAAAGGAAAAAGTACACCCAAGGTCCCTCAACTTGTCATCGAGTTACAAAATCGTCCCCTAATCGCAAAACCAGATACCGGGCATCCCTCAATAAACAAAACCGTTCGTTTTAGGTCCTTCGGTGGTTTTGACCCTAATTTTGTCCGACGTGGTGGCTGAATCAGTGTGGGACTCACGTGGGCCCCACATGTCAGACTATCCCCGTCAGCCTCCTCCTCCCTCTCTCTCTCTCCCCTCTTCTCTCCCTTCCTCCTCTCTATCAACTCTTCTCCTCTCTGGGACTTGGGCAGGCACGCCACGCACGATGGCGTCGAGCCCGGGGGCGGACCAGGGAGAGGCGACAAGCTCGACCTCGGCGACGGCCACGCGGTCGACCCTGGCCAGGAAGGACCCCGGCACGCCGCTGTCGCTCCGCCGGCCGCCGGCCACCGCGCCGCTCCGCCGCGCTCCTCCCCAGCGGAGGCGAGCTTCGCCTCCGTCTCCGGGTTCCGGCGGCCGGAGTGACGGCGCCCCTCCCAGGCTAGGTTCGGCTCCGGTCTCTGCGTGACTGCGTCACTACGCGCCGCGGCCGTAGCGATCGAGAAGGTTATCCTGCTTCTTCTTCCCCAATCCTGTCGCGGCATTTAAATCAGATGAGCTATGTAGTCCTCGAGTCCCCAGTTCCCCATCTAGCAGTTACTGTCAACCATGCGCCCATGCCGAGAGATTCGTGGTGGGGGGTGGGGGGGGGGGGGGGACGTTGGAACTGAAGCGTGTGATCCGGAGGATTTCTTGGTTTTCTCTTGACACGAGAAAATTTAACTGTGTAATCTGAACCTTTGTGTTGGAATTGATCAGCAAATTAACCGATGCAAATTAATCGACGTCGTCCTCGGCCGGCCGCAGCGGCGCCGCCTCCGCCTGCGCCGGGATGAGGCGTAGGAGGTCAATGAAGATGGCCCGAGGAGGTGGGTGAGTGCGCGGCGGCCGACGGAGTGGAGTGGAGCAGGAGTGGGCAGCCGGCGGAGCGGAGCGCCGACGGCGGCAGGCAAGCGCGCGGCTGGCGGAGCAGAGCAGCAGCGGCAGGCGAGCGAGCGGCCGCGAGCCGACCGCCGAATCTTCTCCTCTCCCTCGTCGCCCCGCCGACCTCCTCTCGACCCGCCGGCCTCCTCCCTTCTCCAGCGTCGCCACCGTCACCGCCGCCGTGTCACCTGTCGCCGACGCCCGTTCGTCTCCGCGTTCGTCGTCGGGGCCGTCGTGCTCATCGCCGCGCCGTTCACCGTCCGTCCCGCATCGTACACCCGCGACATCGGGCGCGCCGTTGCCGAGCGCGAGGAGCGTGGCGGCGGCCATGGACAGGGAGAGGCGGAGGCGGCCCGCGAGGCGGGAGACCGCCGGGGAAGAAGTGGGACCCCGCGGCGGCGGCGAGGATGCAGTCTGCAGAAGTGGAGGACGAGTGCGAGCCCCGAAGGGAGGCGCGGCGCGGTAGGGAGAGAGGAGGGGAAATAGAAGGTGATGACGTGGCCACGCTGATATGTGGGGTCATGTTGACTCAGCCGCCACGTAGGATGAAACCGGGTCAAAACCATCAAAGTACCTAAAACGAACGGTTTTGTAAATTAAGGGATGTCGTGTATCTGGTTTTGCGGTTGGGGGGCGATTTTGTAACTCGATGACAAGTTGAGGGACCTTCGGTGTACTTTTTCCAAAGTGAAATGATCGGTTTAAGGGTGGTCCGAACTAAAAGGAATAAGTTCATTTAAGGTCCCTTAACTTGATCCCTTGGTAGTATTATTTCCAGTTTTGACTGACGTGAATTATTAGACTAAGTCTTCGTCCCATGTGGTAATGACATGACACTTACGTAACGGTTTGATCCGAAAAAAATAAAAGGGCAAAATTGAAATCTAAAAAAAATTAAAACAAAATATTCGAGGCTCATATATCATTAAAAAAAATAAAAAATAGTGGGACCTGCATGTTAGTGGTCCCACTTCGTCCACTTACCCCTCTATCTCTATTTGCTCTCTGCCAACGAGCCGAAGTCAACCAAGCACGTGTGGAGAGGGAGGAGGCACGGAGGCTAGCGAGCGGGACAGTAAAACTTATTCTGAGGTAAAACTTTGGTAATTAAAGATGGCCTGTATTACAATCCACTCTTGATTTTGGTTGCAAGTGTGCATAGCTTGTCATTTTGTGACATGGGAATAGTCGAGTAGATATCTTTGAAAAAAATGCAGAATGCATGAGGCGAAACCAACGCTTTGTAAAATGGCTTTAAAATATATTCATCTATGGTTACTCTCAACTTTGAGCAGTCGTTATTACTAGCTTCATTGTGGGGTTTTAGAGTTCCCTGGTAGGCATCTCCCTCTCCCTCCTTCTCTCACTACCATTTCACCTCATTAATTTCCTACCCCCAGTGTGATTCTTCCTAGCCGTGATCAAAGTTTAAACATAATAATTGATTTGCAGCTACCATAAGAACAGAACGACAGTTCTCTTGCAACTCCAGGTCAATTAATTCCCTAAATCATTTTTCAGTTCCTAATTAACCAAAAATCTGAATACTCCCATTTCAGAGAGAAGTGCTCTCTATGATCATGGCGGCGCCATTGCCGGATGCTGTGAAAGAGGAAGACGAAGGCAACATGGACAGCTTCCAGTCAGGCCAGACGATCATCGGGCAAGACGACTTCATGGCCATCTTCAGGAACGACAAGCCCCTCTGCGAGCTTCTGATGAAGATCGGCCAGCGAACTTCCGGCAGCAGCGGTGCCAAGCCGGCTGCTCCTCCTCCGGTGAGAGTACTGAATCAGCTTCACTTTAATAATCCTGTATCAATTTTGTTCAGATTCGTGTGGATTAATCTGGATTCTTTTATGCTTATTTACCGAATTATTGTGGTAGATTATTTGCCCCACGATTAATTTTATTCTCATTAATTCATGTGGATTTTTTTCATGAGGATGTTCTTTACCTTATTCACTGGATTATTGTCACGATTATGTGCTCCACACTTCTTCTTAAACAATGTTCTTCTACTTAGGGCATCACCAATATATATGACAAAGTGATCCATATAGATGGGACCCACATAAATAGTTTATTCATATGGTAATGTCCACAATGTATAGATACAAGGTATCATTAGAAGAAGAGAGAGAAGTAGAGATAGATAATATAATTTATTCCATATGGGTATCTTTTGCTATTTTTTCTATATGGACTAGTTGCACAATGGTAATAGGTGGCTGAATGTAATATTCTATTGCTTATGGACTACTTTTACACCACATTGTGGATGCCCTAATAGCATTGTTTAGACCACTTGTTCAAATTTGATAAGTTAACTTATTTATAATAAGTAGATAATCTATAACTATAATATGATGAATAATCTGTAGGTTTGAGTGTAGCGACAAGGATATTATTGCTCCATTTGGTATGCTTAGACGTGGCAATTACTAATTAGTTAGTGTTAGTGCCTTCTGTTAGTTGAGTGGTAGTGCTGTTTTCTCTTAAACAATAATCAGCACTTTAATTTTAATGGGAACTAATAAGATAGTAGAAGAAATCTCTCTTCAACCTTTTTGTGAAAAAAAAAATTCTATATTAACCTCTCTAAGCTCCTGTTAGCTTCTGGAAATACAATTCTGAGTTGATCTTTTGTTGCCATGAACCATATAAATCTGCACTCGCATTGAACTTCATGCAGAGCTTGACTTCTTAATGCTCTGAGACATTTCTTTTAAGATAAAGAGTCCTTTGAGAATGAAATGAAAATTACTAGCGCATCATAAAAGTTCTATATTGCAAAGGCGACCGTAAATTTTGTCAACATTGTGACTTCTCGACGATAATTTCGCGAGAATTTTGATATACGAAAAAAATAATGAAGTTATTTATTCCTTTACGCATACAGGATTTTGTTGTGCGTTTCAAATATGTCGTTACTTCAATTGATGGTTTCTGTTGAGCACATGCCACTTTATTTGCAATTTAGTCTTTCTGTTCCACCTGCCACCTGCGACAGGAAACATCTACACCAACAACAATGTGGCAAAATGCTTAGTCCCAACCCCCAAATATTTGGAAAACAGTATTAGTTTGTTCAAATATCAAATCTGCTGCATAGTTAAATAGTAAGTGGACTGTTTAGCTACTTAACTTAACTGTAGTCGCTTAATTTCAATGTTGAATATGAAACCCAAATCTTCCCATCTGTGTACAATTAAGTAGCTGACTAGAGAAGACAAGCCTAAGCCATTAAAAATGTAGTTAGGATACTACATAATAATTTTGGGGGTCCAATAATTAATCCAAATACATCTTTTCATTCCTTAATCACTTTTCTGTACCATAAATGGACAGAAAAAAAAAGGCATGCTTTTATCATGCTAGGGAGAACCCTGTCTCTTGCATAGCAACAAGCCACCAACTAAGAACTTAAAATGTCACGAACTAGCTTACTTCTTGTAGATTGTTCATTTGCACGGCCTAATCCCCGATGAGCTGTGCAAAATAGACCATCGTCCTGCATTATCAGATTTTCTGTCGGTATGCTAATCCCTCCACGCTAAAAAGTCAATTTACAATAATGCCTCCATTATGTTTCGCTAAGTTTGATTTAGATTAATGAGTGGATTATATCACGAATTATCGATTTGATTTTAAGAATAAATTAAATAGTTTAAAATATAAAGTTATTAGAAGCAATACGATATAAGGATTTTTTTTAGAAAATATATTTTTGAAGAGTAAAATAAAATATATTTTAATAATCCGATGAATAAATTGAAGAGAGCATGGCCTAATCACCGTAAACTTTCCTTAAAGAAACTTAGTTGTCATATAGTAGTACCTCTTAACAAATATATAATAATACATTAAATGCATACATCAAAATATAGGAATCTAATTATGAGCAATGCCAATACTATTGGTAACCGAATTTGTTTATTCCAGTTCTTGTTGTGGATATTTTTTTTCACAAACACGCAAAAAGATTACATGTCAATATATTAGAAAAAAATAGTTTTTATTACACAACGCAATTGGCCAGACATGCCTATCTCAGGGAAAGAAAGAAAAAAACAAAAAGCTGCAGCTAGGAAAAAGAAAATATTATAATTCAATTCTTATCCTTCCGAGTTTTTGTTTATTGTGGATATATTAGCTTTGGACTTAAATTTTGCAAGATGCTAGAATCTTATCATACCAATTTTCGTTAACTTTTTTATAGAAAAAATTCTAATTAATTTGATCAACATTTGAGAAATGAGAATTAAAATGATGCAGTAAAAATCCAGTTGGCCAGTAATTAATTAACTCATGTATCATTTTTTCCCCTTACTTCCTCAGGCGCAGCAGCAGCAGCAGCAGCCACCTCCACCGGCGCAGCATGGCGCATGCGTGAAGAGGCCGGCGATCGGGCCGCCTCCGGGGTTCGCCGGCGTCCGCCAGCCACCGCAGAAGCAGCAGCAGCTGCCACCACCACCACGGCGGAGGGCGCAGCAGCAGCCGGCGAGCGCCGCCGCCCATCACCGCAACCCGAACCGCCACCACCTGTCCGGCGTCGCCGCGCCGCCCGCGGCGGCGGCAAACGCCCTGTCGATCATGAGGAAGGCGGCGGCCGCCGGCGGTGGCGGCGCCGCCCTGTACTGCGGCGTGTGCAACGTGAAGTGCATGACGCGGTTCAACCTGAGGGAGCACGAGGCCGGGAGGAAGCACCGGGACAAGGTGGCCAGCAACGCCGGCGAGAAGAACGTCCGGTGCCAGCTCTGCGACGTGCTGCTCGCCAGCGAGCTCAACGTCGCGCAGCACTACGCCGGCAAGCAGCACCTCCACCGGCTCCGCCTCAGCCGCGGCCGCGGCGGCGGCGGCGGCGGCGGCAATGGCGCCACGGGCGCCGGAGCAGCCTAAGTGTGATTTCCACAAAGGCAAAAAAGAACCGCACAGGTTTTCGGTTTAATCATATGAATTTGCCCTCATTTATGAATTTGGTGCAAATTTGTACTTTTAATATTACTACTGCTGCTTAGCTACTTCGATATATATTTATATGCTGATGAAACAATTAAGCGCTCCTGCTATATTTGAACTGTAATTTAACTAGAAGGAGACATTAGCCTTATCCCTTATTATGTATGAATTCTGAACCTGAAATTTGGTTGTGTAATAAATTATGTCTGCGACTCTGTTTTATGCTCTCTGTCTTCATTCTCCGAGCCGTTTCTTTGATCTCACCAAGTTAAATATGTACATGGTTCTTCTATGACTGTCTTCTTTGTCATCCTGCACTATGGGGACTATTATGTTTCCTTAGTATATCATGCACTAATAAACAATAATTAAGATGGTTATTCTGGCATAGGGACCATTACAGAGTAGTGAAGGATGGCATCATTCCCTTCTAATTGCACCTATATCACAAATTATGATTAAATATATGTATGTTATACTGATGAACCTGCAGACTTGCAGGGTACAATTTTGTTTAGAAGAGATTATAAGCTGTCATTTTCAGAAGACAACCAGCCCTAACTACCACGGGTCGAATGCATGGAACAAAAATGTGGGTGCATTGCAGATCTTGCAGGTGGACCAAATGCCAGTGCCCCTACCTAACAAGAATTCTTCTGGTCAAGGGAAACACATAAACAGTTAACCCCAGCTTCAGGTGATCGACTTCTTTTCTGTCAGTAATTTGACCCAGTTTCTCTGATGTCAATTAACTAAGGCAAAATTTGCTACAGGACACCCAAAAACACGTAATTAGCTGAGGGACACCGAGAAAACGTGAAACTGCCCCAGGACACTACAAAATTTGTGAAATTTGCCGTAGGACACCAAGCTCATTATTTTATTTTTTTCCGGCTGAAAGTGACGAGTATTTTTTCAAAATGCCCAGATTGCCCCCGCGTCCCAATCTATGCCGACGCGCAGTCCGGTGGAACCAAACTCGGTCGCACGGTTGGATGGAGGAGCGATTTCGCAATCAAGAACCTGGCGCGGCTTCATCGCCGGCCGCGACGCGCTGCTCTCGCCGCCGAGGAGGCCCATCTCCACGTTGCGGTCGGCCTGCGCCGGCACCGGCGCCGGCGCCGGCGGGGGCGTCGCGCCGGTGAGCAGTATCTGGATGAGCACGAGCCGCGTGGCTTCGGCGGTGACAGCGACGAGCTGCAGCATGACGCCGAACGCGTCGAACCGCGCCTCGCCGTAGGCGGCGACGGCGATGCCCGCGGAGATGCCGAGCATGTTGAGCATGGAGGCGTGGTGGAAGGAGTCGGTGCGGAACGCGATGGCGAGGCAGTAGACGACGACGGGCATGAGCGCCTTGAGCATCTGGATGAAGGAGACGGAGAGGTAGATGTATGCGGAGTTGGAGAACCAGAGCGACAGCGCGTAGAGCACGCCCGATGGGCACGACGGAGGCGGCGTAGAGGCTGGGCGTCATGGGCGGCGACGTCGGCTCGGCGACAACGCGGAGGACGCGGACGAGCACCACAGCGAGGGAAGCGCAAAACACCATGTGGACCATGGTGAGCGATATGGGGAATGGCCAGTTGTACATCGTGGGATCGAGGATGTACTTGTTGTACATGATCACCGAGATGCTGAATGTGATCCACACGCTCACGTACGCGTAGGACAGAAGCAGCGACTTGAGCACGGATGGCGCCGGCGTCGGAGAAGAAGACAACGACGACACAACGTCCATGGCCGTGGCGAGTGCAGGGGGCTTGGTAGGAGAGGATTGATGTGGCTTGAGAGGTGTGATGCCGGCGCCGGCGGGGGCGTCGCGCTGCTGCATCCCAGCAACTGGAGAGAGGACCAGACGCTGCTGCAGCCCAACAACTGGAGAGATGAGCAGACAAGTTAGACGGCGTACGTCGTCGCCGGAGAGAGGAGCGAGAGCTGCAGGCTGCAGCTTGCCGGTGATCTCCAGCCAGCACATGTCCAAGAGCTCCGCCACCTCAGGAACCTGATGACGGCGGCGACTCCGGCGATGGGTCCCACCGACGGCTGCACGCGGCGGACTCTCCGGCGGCGAGCTTCGTGATGCCTTCCGTCGAGTGGTGTGTGGCGACTGAGTTTGGGACGCGGGGTAATCTAGACATTTTGAAAAAATACTCGCCACTTTCACCCAGAAAATGATAAAATAATGAGCTCAGTGTTCTACGGCAAATTTCACAAATTTTGCAGTGTCCTGGAACAGTTCCACGTTTTCTTAGTGTCTCTCAGCTAATTACGTATTTTTTTGACGCCTGTAGCAAATTTTGCCATTAACTAAGTCCCTTGATGATCTCACCGAGGTATCCAGCTAGCTGCAGCTTAGAAGCTACTAGCACAAAATGACCCAACGAACTAGAAAACCAGCAACAGTGACGGGCTACTACCACTGATACAATAATAATTAGGCGAGCTCGACCAAATTAAAGCAAAGGTGGAATTCAGCGAGGTTGAATTGGGAAAGTAACAAGCTCTTACACATGGAAAGAAACAGGGGAGAGAGGATTTCCCCTCGAATAACCTTTTTCTCTTAAATTCATTGTAAATAGTTATGAAAAATTCTTTTAAAAAAATAACAACGTAGAGTAAAGTAGGAGTAACATATACCACCTCACAAAAATCATATTAAAATTCAATCAAATTATCGAGAAACGAAAAAGACATTCAAAATTTTACAGTATAGTGGGAAGGACGCCACAAGTTGCATTGTTCAATGTCGCGAAAAAAGAAAAGATGTGACTACACTGCCTGAAATGAAGGTGGCCACCATGGCGAGAACGATTGCCTACAAGGACCGAGAGACCGAGACCCTTGATTTCACAAACGAAAATGACAAATTCAAAAATTATGGTTAACTGATAAGGACGCCACATGTTGCAATATTGCCCAATACCACCATGAGAAAGTTGTGAATACACGCTGTCTAGATGAAGGGTAATTTTACCATCCTTAAAAAGATACCGGGAGGTACCATATTTACTAGTGTAAAATTTGATACCACTATATACTAAGTATTTTAAGATAACAAAATTTCTAGCGTAAAATCCTGGGTACCTCCAGATACTTTCTTAAGGATTATAAAATTTCTCTTAAATGGAGGAGGCTACCACGGCGAGAACGATTGCCTACTAGAGGGCCGACTCAGAGAGAGCAACCTTGACTGGTGCAGGAGAGAGGACGCGCCACCGGAATGAGGCGCGCCACGGTGAGGATGACGACGGCGAGCGTACGGTGCATGAGATCCGACATCGTATCAATGAGCAGGAGATAGAGGGTGAGGAATGCACAGCTGGGATCGATGAGGGGGGTGCACCACGGGCGTAATGCAAGGACGACAATTAACGGACAATGGCTGATGGTGGACAGTGAGAACGGGAACTTGATCAAATGGTTTAATTGAAAAAAATGTTTTCATTCTTTGCCTTCCCCACATGAGAATCTGTGTACTTTTTTTTTAAAAAAAAACTTTTGGGAGAGTATAGAAACATACCGGGAATGCAATTTCGTTCCAAAATTTTCGAAATTTCGCCTCCACAAATTAACACATATCTCGCCCAAAGTTTTTTTTTTGTGTGTTTTTAATGATTTTGGTCAAAATTTGTTGAATTTTGAAATAATTTTGTTCAAAAAAGTTCTGAAATTGCCGAAATTTTAGAAAGATCTGTGACCAACGAAATTCCGAAAATTTGTTGAAAAATAAAAGTGTAAAAACTGCATAGAAGCGCTGCATTTTGCCAAGTATTACTTGACTAGATATACCCCCATATTGTGCAACAATTATCTTTATCTGTACATACTACTAAGCAGTCGTATACATACGACGTTGTGTGGTTACATGTTATGGAGCTACTAATGCAACAAGATGGGGGGATACCTTGCATGATTTCTAATGGTGTCATTTTCGGTTTTGTATTAAAATATTTTTTCAGAAATATTGGTAGCTAGCAGCTCTACCTAGCTATTTAATAAGGAAGCAAATCAACGTTACTACTATTATGGTGTTAATCATCCTCAAAATGAAACGAACCCTAGTTTAGTATACTGTAGCTCGTGTGAAAAAAAAAGCATTCTTCCTCTGCATCTTAACTTTGTCGGATAGAGTGGTATTATAGCTCGTTTGACAAAAGAGAATTCTTCTTCTACATCTCAACTTCGTTGGATAGAGCGGTATTGTAGCTCGTTTGACAAAAGAGCATTCTTTCTCTATATCTTAACTTCGTTGGATAGAGTGGTATTGTAGCTCGTTTGACAAAAGGAGCTTTGTCCTATATAATCTACATTGCAATAAATTGGATAGAGTGGCACTTGCTAAAGGTTACATTAGAGCAAGCAATGCTGTCCTGGATGGAGAAAACAACATACTCATATTAATGTCCTGCTACTCTCTCTAACCGTCCTACGGACTTCTATGCTTTTTTCTAAGTACATTAGAGAGAAAGAATATGATACTATTGATAAAATTAGAGATGATTGAAGAATAATATTTCTACAGGACTACTGGCCGCCAACTACCTCTGACATTTAATTGAATAGAGCGGTAGTTGGCGGCGAGTAGTACCGTAAAAATATTAATATTTTTGAAACAGTAGAAGTCCTTAAATTTAAGGATATATATGATATCTCTTTCTTTCCATTACCCACATTTGCTTGCGTCTCCCTCGTGGTGTTGCATGCTATTAATTGACAGAGTAATGTCGTTTTGTGGCAGTGGCAGTGTGCAATGTTTATCCACGTATGTATGCCAAAGCCCACATGGACCCTGATGGCAAAAGAGATTAAATGCATTCGCTAAACTAAACAGGTTTATTGACATCTCAGTAAGCAGTTGACAGAGATTACGTGTGTGGCCATCATCTGATTACAGGATCATTATCAGCTGTAAATATGTAATGGTCTTATCCTTTGGCACAATCAATGCAAAGAACCTATATTAGTGGTTCGCCAATGTACATGATTTTTTCTTTCTTTCGTTTACCTTCATTTTTTTACTTGTCATTCAGTGCATCGACATAATCTCTAATGCATATCTCACCATTACCTTTTCTAATTATATATTTATAAAACTCATAAAAAATATAACAATATGAAAAATATTTTTCATGATAAATCTGCAGATACCATTTTTATGTATTAAATCCTAATGTTTCTGCTAATGATTTATAGAACTTCAAGATTTGACTGCACAGATTCTAGGACGCCATCCTTTTACAATAATGCAAATAGCAGTGTTCAGTAAATGAATTCAATGATACCCAAGTTTTTTTTTTCTGGGCAGGGCTCTCTCTTATGAATGTGTAAGAATCCCTTTTCAGATTTATTAGTTCCTTTTTACCAGGCATAAAAAAAGATCATATCATTGTCAGCATGAGTAATAAAATTACATATGTCACTTTAAATCAACTAAGTTATAAATTTAAATTTTGGCTACGGCAGATAAGCTAGCTGATAGCCTACCTTATTCGGATTAAATCATGGAGATGGTTATTTTGTCAAGGGAATAATAAAAAGGTAGTTAAGTATGTTATCTTCCCTTCTAATTGCACCTGCTAATCGAGTCACATATTACGATTAAATTTGAAGTACATGTCACAGTGATATAGCTACAGTGTTTTCTGACGAACCACCAATCTCGATACAGGGTAGTACAGACAAGGCATTTTTTTTTTCGATAATGACCAGAGGATACATGGGTACAAATTAAGTACAAACACAAAATGTTGTGGGTACAGCTTCAGATCTGCAGGTACCTAGCTAATACTACTAGTGTTCATCAAATGATTTCAAACATACCAAAGTTGTATGATGGTGTTTTCAGTGTGAACCTTTTTCTTGGGTCGATGTATTTATATCTTTTTTTATTAATGAAATAGAACAGAGTTTCTGCATTTGTTTTAAAAAATAAAATTAAATACACACACATTGTTAGCATGTGTGTTAGCATTAGGATTAAATCATTCAAAGATGGTTATTCTGCCATGGGAATCATAAAAACTGGGGTAGTTAAGGATGTCATTTTCTCTTGTAATTGCACCTGCTGATCTAGCCACGAATTACGATTAAATGTAAAGTGCGTGTCACACACACTGATTAAGCTACAGTGTTTTCTGACAAACCACCAATCTCTAATCCACCAGACAATGCATTTTCTTTCGATAATGACCAGAGAATGCATGGGTACAATAACAAAAATGTGGGTGCAACAGCAGATTTCTGCAGGTAGACCAAATGCTAGTAGTTGCATTTACCTAATAAGAATTGTTCAGTTCAACATAAACCCAGAAACACATAACCCAGATCTAGGAGATCCAGTCTTGTTAGAATTCAGTCAGTTTCTGTCAGGTTAACTCTCTTCATTGTCTCATCAAGGTCCCTAGCTGCAACTTGGGAGCATGCACTAACTGATACAACGAACTGAAAACCGGCAACAGCTAGCGATGGGCCACCCACACACCACTGGAGAAAACGGAAAAAATAAGGCAAAATAAAAGGAGAGAGATGATTGATTTGAACAAAGAAAAGAGCCAAAGATGAATCTCAAGAAGGTTGCAATGAAGAAAAAAGAAAAAAAAAATGGTTGTTTTACTGTGTAGCGTTGCAAAATCATCAGCATGGAAAAAATCAGTAGGATAATTTCGGTGTTAGCATTTAGTACTCATTCCGTCTCAAAATATAAAAAAATATATGTATTTAACGCTAATGATTTTCTTTCAATCAACTCAGTGCTTACATTTTAAATTTGCCCAATTGGCCGAAAATATATGGATTTCTATATCTTGGAATCAGCGTCTCAAAAATACTTACTCCTATATCGTAGTAAATTTTTTAATCTTAAGACGAAGAAGTTTTTCCATGGTACTCCATTGTGCAGAAGTGGTGACGTGTTTGAATGGTTGGTAACCAATCCCTCACTTAAAATAAACCATTTGGTCCTTTAACTCTACAAAGGGAAAGGGAGTGAGGACCAATAGAGGTCAGGCAACCCAAAGCTGCGTGCTTAATTATACGGCTTTTAATTGATCCGCCAACGCTCAACGCACGCTGCTAATGACAGATGCGTCACGCGTATATGTAGAAGGAAATGGATTTCAGTCCCTGAGTTAATTATAAAAAATATAGATAATTAATTAGATGATAAAGATTGTTGCCCTCCATTATATGCAAGATAAAATTCAACTCTATAAGGGGAAAAAATTGTAAGCAACTCATTGTGAATACGACTACACATTTTGTAATCTGATGTTATTTTTTTTCCTCTATGTTTAAATATTCTATTTGATCTCGCATGTCTGTGAAAGTGTATGTGACACTTTAATTAAATCATCTGTGCTTTGTATGTATTTCTCAATAAAAAAAGCTATAACTATTTCATCCGAATGCAAAAAAGTAAAAAAAATATCACACATATCAAGGAGAGGAGTGCTATGCAAAAAAAAAATTGTACTAACAAAAATCTTAACCATTTAATAAAATCAATAGGCGGTTAAAGAAAAAGCAAGAAGCACGTAATCATAGCTTTAAAAAATTAGTAAAAATTTAGTTTAAAAAAATTAGTACTTATAGCCACGCTCTTACTTAAAATATACAGATTTTCACATAGATCTTATGAGCTGCTACCTCTATCCTTATGACGCGTTTGGTTAGGGGGAATGGGAGCTTGAGGGATTGGGACTGGGACTTCTACATTTTCAATATCTGGGTAGGTGCATGTAATTGAGAGAAATTTTCTTCTAAGTATATGACACGATAAATCTAAACAGTACATTATCACTTAAAATTCAATTCCTTCCATACTCTCCATGATTCTCATCTCTACTACTAAACAACGGTCTGGGAGTAAAAATAAAACTCCCGTAACTAATCCCTGTGTATTTAAAACCTTGCCCTCTTCTAATAGAATGACGTGCAATTCTTTTACGCGTTCATGAAAAAATAATCAATCCGTTCCCCGACTCGTTTATTTAAACTCCCAATCTCCTTTTCATCTCTTGCTAAACAGATCGTAATTAAAGGATTTTACCCACATAGTCTGAGCTACTCCATCCGTCCCCTTAATATAAGGGATCTGATATTTTGTTTTCACTGTTTGACCACTCATTTTATTTAAAAAATTTGTGCAAATATAAAAAACGAAAATTGTGCTTAAAATACTTTAGATAATAAAGTAAGTCGCAAATAAAATAAATAATAATTTTAATTTTTTTTAAATAAGATACATGGTCAAATAGTAACAGTAAAATATAAAAAAATCATTTGTATTAGAGTACAGAGCGAGTAGTAACTATCACGATGAGGAGAGAAAGAAACGACTGCGCTCCCTCATCAACCTTGCCAAGAAAATGGCGCCTTCTTTTCCTCCAGCCAACGATCTGGTTGATCAGCGACCATCGCCGACCCTTGGTTTTTCCCCCGGAGTCGCCAAGTTGCCCACGTATTTGGCGTACGGGGAAAACCGGGAGCCCCCGGATCGATCGGTGATCGGTGTGGTAGTTGCGTTTGGCCACCGGCCGTCCGTCTCGCGAACGCGCGCGCGCGCGGGATCCCAGCTGCAGGGGGGAGAATGCGGCTCGATCGGCCGGATCGCGTGCAAGCGTGCCGCTGCATCTTGCGAAAAAAAAAGAAAGAAAAGCATATGGGTGTTGAATGTTGTCAACGGCAGGTTGCATTTGCGCGCCGCTTGTTTTTACCCAACCCAAGAAAGAAAATGGTGTCGCCAATAGATGCTAATTAATGCCCTGCTTAAGGTCATGTGTTTGGCATAGCTCTATGGAGTACCTCGTATCTAGTTAGCTGGGTTAGAAGTTTGAGAATAATTACTCCGTCCAATTTTTTTTAAAGATAACTTTTACAAATGAATTTGGACAAACATATTATGTTATATTTATCCAGATTTGTACCTAGAAGTTGATTTATTTTACCGAGAGTGTACATTATATTGGTTTAAAGTTTTCTATTTCATTTAAAGTATGAATAAAATGGTTCATCCAAATATTATTATAGTGTAATAACATCTCCATAGAGATCAGCTAGGAATGTTTTTAAGAAACCTTGGATTCGGAGCTATGTCAAACTGATTTGATGTGAATTTCTTTTATTCCAATTGAACATAAGTAAAATAGTTTGTATTTCACGAGAATTATAAAAAACACGTTTTTCGATAGAAATTTAGTGAGACTAAGTGTATATTTAGAGATGGACTGAAATATTTTTGAGCGTATATTATATAATGAGGTGTACCACTAAGTGTGTACGTGTATAGTGGGGCGTGTGGTTGTACAATTTTCATGTTATTTGGAAAAATAGCCTTATTCGACACTTTGTTTTGTGTATATATGTACATGTATAGGCGTATTATTAGATTCCGGGTACGAAGTAGTAGTGTGCATGCGTGCAGTGGTATACTGAAGTGGAAACGCACCTCTACGTGAATGTGATGTAGGTTATTGTCCTGGGTGAGATATGATGGTTACTGATAGCATTATACTGGAATTAATAAAAATGACCCAAGAAATTAAGTACTAGTACTTGGGAGTAAGATACCGACGTTCGTACGAAATTACAAACAAAAAGAATTAGTTTCTAAGCACAAGGAGTAGATTTCAAAGCCTTGAGGCACAAGATTCAGGTCTCTACAAATAAATTTCATAATCTACTCGGTTTAGTTGTTTATCTCAACCCTTTTAGCTCACCAAATCAAACGGCCACCTGTACCCTACGTGCCACTCCTCCCCCACCTATATATCAACGCCCCCTAAACCCCTCAAAATATTCATCACTCGATCGATCTCCTCACTTCACACACAAGCTCAAGCTCAAGCTCAAGCTAAGCTTAAGCTTAAGCTAAGCTTCACGCACCACGATCTCGCGAACGCCATGAGCGCCACCATGGACGCGGTCATGCCGGGCGCCGCCGGCGCGCACAACGCGACGGCGGCGGCGGCGGCGGGGCGGCGCGGCGGCGGCATCGTCGCCGGGATGATGGCGTTACCGGAGGTGCAGACGGTGGAGCTGCTGGTGGCGGTGTCGATCTTCGTGGCGATCCACTCGCTGCGGCAGCGGCGGTCGCAGGGGCTCCCGTCGTGGCCGCTCGTCGGCATGCTGCCGTCGCTGCTCCTCGGCCTCCGCGGCGACATGTACGAGTGGCTCACCGGCGTCCTCGCGTCGCGCGGCGGCACGTTCACGTTCCATGGGCCATGGCTCACCAACCTCCACTGCGTCGTCACCTCCGACCCGAGGAACCTGGAGCACATGCTCAAGACCAAGTTCGGGAGCTTCCCCAAGGGCCCCTACTTCCGCGACACAGTGCGCGACCTCCTCGGCGACGGCATCTTCGGCGCCGACGACGAGGTGTGGCGGCGGCAGCGGAAGGCGGCGAGCCTCGAGTTCCACTCGGCCGAGTTCCGGGCGCTCACGGCGAGCTCGCTGGTGGAGCTCGTGCACCGGCGGCTGCTCCGGGTGCTCGGCGACGCGGAGGAGGCCGGCGACGCCGTCGACCTCCAGGACGTGCTCCTCCGCCTCACGTTCGACAACGTGTGCATGATCGCGTTCGGCGTCGACCCGGGCTGCCTCCGCCCGGGGCTCCCGGAGATCCCGTTCGCCAAGGCGTTCGAGGACGCCACCGAGGCGACCATCGTGCGGTTCGTCACGCCGACCGCCGTGTGGCGCGCCATGCGCGCGCTCGGCGTCGGGCACGAGCGCGTGCTCCAGCGCTCGCTCGCCGGCGTCGACAGGTTCGCCTACGACGTCATCCGCCAGCGCAAGGAGGAGGTCGCCGCCGGCGGCGGCGGCGGCGGCGGGGGGCGGTCCGACCTCCTCACCATCTTCACCAAGATGCGCGACGCCGACACCGGCGCCGCCGCCTACTCCGACAAGTTCCTCCGCGACATCTGCGTCAACTTCATCCTCGCCGGCCGCGACACCTCGTCGGTGGCGCTCGCCTGGTTCTTCTGGCTGCTCAACAAGAACCCCGCCGTCGAGGCCAAGATCCTCGAGGAGATCGACGACATCGTCGCGGCGCGGAGGAGCTCGCCGCCGGCGCCGGCGGTGGCCGCGAACGGCGCCGACGAAGACGACCTCGTGTTCCACCCGGAGGAGGTGAAGAAAATGGAGTACCTCCACGCCGCGCTTTCCGAGGCGCTCCGCCTCTACCCGTCCGTACCCGTAGACCACAAAGAGGTACGTATATACGTTTTTTCAATACTTTTTTAATACTCTCATAAAAGATGAAAAATAAATCTCCCGTCTCTGCACTTATACACTATACATATAATACGCTGAGAGAAATATGTGTGTGTGTATGATATTATCTCCGTTCTAAAATAGAGTAATTTTTTATTATGAATCTTGATAGATATTCTGTATTTATAGTTAGAAATGTTTACTTTAAAAAATGAGGGGAGTAGAGGAGAGAAAGAAAAGACATGAAGTGCGTATGCATGTCATGGTGAGCATGAATGTGTCGTGTCCGAAAGATTGTGTTTTGTATTGTCGTTTGGTAGAGCTAGCTCATCCAAATAATGCCAAGTTCTTCCCAAAATGCGTGAGTGATATAACTACATCTGCATGAAGAGTTGGTAGCCGGCAGCTCCTAGCTAGCACAGTACCATCACTAGTAGTACCACATGAAACAAACAGCTATTAGTAGTACGGATTAACGTACTCATCAGTTTGCACAGTAGTCTTCATGAGAATATGTTGTTTTAGGCATCAACGTGGTTTTTAGAATGGTAACTTTAATTTGACAAGTAATTTCTAGTGCAAAATAGTTACAAAAACAAAAATTTTACTCCCTCCGGTTTCCATTGTTTGACGTTGGTTCATCGACGGAGGTAGTAATTTATAGTGCAAAATAGTTGGAAGACAAAAATTACAGTTTTTAAGTTAAGACATGGCAAAATGGCATGTCTCCATGAGGAGAGGAATCAAGGAAATCAAGGTTGTGAGTACCAGTACCTCTGGAAAACAGTACACAAGCACTAACCAATTAGTAGCGGTTTTTATCGACGAATTGTTCATAAATTCCAATATTTACCGTTTACCAGTTACAGCTGGTAACCAGTTTTTAAACTCAAATATCAGGATTCAAACTTTTATTGGAGAAAATACCAGTTATCAGTTTTTTACCTGCGAAAAGGTTGAACCCAAATTTTTACCACTTACCACCGGTAACCGGTCTGGATTCATTCAAACTTTTGGCATGGCTGATATGTGAACTTTTATGGATGTAGCATATATGTAATTTTTTATGGATCTAGCATATAAAAAAATATTACCAAATCCACACGACATAACAAGAAAAAAAAATACAGTTCATACAATTTCAAATTCGAATTCTAAATTGTAGGTTTCAATTCAAATTGTTCTGACCGGTATGCCGGTTACTGGTAGCCAGCTCAGGAGTGAGATTTGCACATTGGAGGAAATAGTGGAGTAGATGTAAAGAACAAAAGGACAATTGACTAGTAATTTATAGTTAAGTTCTCCATCTAGAGCCCAGTTCTTAAAATCAATGGTAGTAAAGCATTTACAAATTACAAGGAAGTTACTACTGCAGTGCTAGGCTGTAGATATTGAGGTTGAGTGTTACTGAAGTTGATGAACCAGCTGACCCCTGCACAGAAGTCATGATGCATGCGCAGTTGAGCATGCAGGCTCAACAAGCATTGGACCTTGCATCTTGAAGTTGATGTGCCATATTAAAAAAAGAAGAAGAGAATGCATAGGTTGCAAGTTGGCCATCTACTACATGTTTTTGGATATCTTGGTGAAGACTTATGAAACTCTTCTTCAGCATGATAGAGACATGTTGAAGACAGTTCCAGATGTAGTTGCACCAATGCATCTGTTTTTAGTTTACATGTAGGTTTGCAAAGTGGATTGACAACAAAAGGGTACTCTTTATCTTGATTAATGGTTATACAGATCCTAAAAGTACAACTTATAACTTACTGCCGGATCAGATAATTTCAAACATCTTTTGCATCAGATCACCTACCAAACTATCAGGCCAGAGGAAATCAATAGTAGCAAATTAAATCCAATGACAACCTATTTGTCAGCAAATTAAATCCTCCTTTAAGTTTTGAGCCATAAAGATTGTGACACCCAATTTTTTTTAAGAAAAAAAAAACAGATGAGCTAATCTTCAGGCTTAACATTTCTCATGGCCTGTTGTCAGGTTGTGGAGGACGAGGTGTTCCCGGACGGGACGGTGCTGAAGAAGGGGACAAAGGTGATCTATGCCATGTACACCATGGGCAGGATGGAGAGCATCTGGGGGGAGGACTGCAGGGAGTACAAGCCGGAGAGGTGGCTCAGAGACGGCCGCTTCATGGGCGAATCGGCCTACAAGTTCACCGCCTTCAACGGCGGCCCTCGTCTGTGCCTCGGCAAGGACTTCGCCTACTACCAGATGAAGTTTGCCGCGGCCTCCATCCTCCGCCGTTACCACGTCCGCGTCGTCGACGGCCACCCAGTGGCGCCCAAGATGGCGCTCACCATGTACATGAAGCATGGGCTCAAGGTGAAGCTGACCAAGAGGGACAAGAGCAAGCTTTGAAACCAAGTTGTTAAACAGCTTTGGCAATAAGGCTCATGGTTTGGGGAAAAAAAAGTATGGAGGACATGATGGAAGCAATGGTGGCTTCCAGATGTGGTCGGTGAAGCAGATGATGCGTGTGCACTGTGCAAAGCTTTCTTCTGCATTTGTTTCTTCATTTGAAGTTTGCTGTTATGTACTAGTATTTGATCTGTTTCCTTTTTGTCCAAATAGCAATATGTACTGTAGCCAAGTGTGGTGCCTATAGAATTTAATGTATATGCGTGTGAGGAATACTTTAAGATGATATTACTAATAATTTTTAGCAAGGCTGTTTCAACACAATAACTGCAAGATGTGATGGTTTTGCTGCCGATCAAATGTACATCAATCACAGGTGCTCCAGAAAAAAATCAGAGTTCAGGCAAAGTACCTGTTGAGGAGCATTATTCAGTGGTTTGGCCACTCAAGTGTGCTTTATCCCTCGTTTTTTTGCATGGCTTAACATATCAGCAACAAAACATGCTAATGTCACCAAGTAGACGACTAGCAATATGAGTTGTTGTTGGTTGGCCAACTTCAAGCTATGCCACAGACCAACAGCCCATAACCTGGTTGGTCAACTTCAAGCTCTGCCACTCCACTCTTCATAGAATTCAGCCACAAAGTCCTCCATGAACTTGTGCCTTTTCTCTGCTCTCTTTTTCCCGGCCTATGCACAAAGTGAAATGGTGTCAACGCCAAAGGAAGAGATAATGGGATTCTACAAGGAATGTTTGTACTAGGTAAATTGGAGTACATGGTATTAAGATGCATGCTCAATAATTTGAATAAAGTAAAGACAATGAGTGATTATTAGCCCATCAGAAGGTATAATAGGAATCTCCAGGGAGTATTGATGACTAGTACACAGAATCCACTTTTCATACACTTCGCCAATGTACAGATGCATGCTAAATCAGAAGATATACCATGAGCATCAGTAAGCAGAATTTTCTTTCATGTACTTAACACGTGTAAATTGATGAAGATAAGACCCAACATAGATCTACTACTCTTAGTACTGAGTTCAATAGGTCCAAATATTTAATGCTTTCTCCATAGGCTTCAACTAGGACAGCGGTAAGAACACATGTCTACATAACTCATCACCTACCTCTGTCTTCATCATGTCCTTCAACTTAAATAGCTTCTCATGGAAATGATTAATTGATGTCTGTTTTTCATCCTTGGACATGTATTTCTCCTTTGACAAATTATCACGCGGCAGTATCTTAGGATCATGCAATGTGTTTTTCTTGCTCCCACCATACGTAAAACATCTTGCAATACCTGCAGGTGTTTTAGGGAAAGATTCGAACACAGAGCATTTATTCATACTACATGAGACCAAAAAAGGCAGTCAAAGCATATGCATTTCTCAATTGAAACAGACATAGTAGGATTCCCATTAGCCCATTACCCATATCAGCATACGTTGGAAGACACTTGGACCTGGACAGGACAGGGTAGACAGTACAATCTTGCAAACTAACAGTACATGATGTTTTCTTATTTTTATCTCTCCCTATTTCTTGCTCGTCTACAATTTCAGGGGATCATTGCTACCTAAAAATTTCCTCCCTATATCCTGCCTTTGTGTGGTATCAGTAATTTCAATTCAGCTTCATATGACAAGGGGGTAAAGTGCAATTAGCATATGAACGCATATGAAGCAAGTTAAGAGGTACAGTAACTTATAAACTCATGATATTTGGAAACAACTGCTGAGATAAGTAAGAGCATAAGACTCAGGACAATAAAACATATGTGACAGTCCTATTAAAACCAAGAAAAAGATTGTGGCGTACTTCTATCAGTAGAGGAAGAAATAATGATATATGTGCGCTAGTCAATATTGAAAAACTAAATGATGAGGCAAAGTGGCAAACACTTGATAAATTTATGCCATCAGAGTCCAAAGGAAGAAGGGGAAAAAACAAGATGGTGCATGGAAAAGATTTTGCATAACCAGTGCAACATTTACTGCATCCTAATTGTTGAAGGAAACTTTGTTTGAGTAGAGCTGATAAAGAAACTTCGGTTATGCAGTACTTGCCAATTGCACCAATTGCATCAAGACGATCTGCATCTTGTACAATTGCAAACTCAAGAGTAGGCTCAACAACAGACTTCTTTGAAACTTCATTTTTGAATCCTGCACATAAGATTTGAGATGTTATAACGTATGCATTGCATAACTAGGGATACACTAAGAACTACTTATGGCCTTCATATGATACAACATTATCATAATGGGATTGTACTACAGGAAAAAAAACGGATTTTATAAACTATAAGATTTATATGGCTTTGAAGTTCGATGAACAATTAAGTAAGCTCAAGCCAGCTGCTGTTTGCCAAATAGTTTCATCCACAGATTCATAAACATGAAGAACTCACCCATCCCCTTAATGATCGCCACAATTTCCTCCCTCTGGCCCTGCTCCAGTTCCACCTCTTCAAGAAACCTCTCCACGATGCTCATATCCTCAGCATTGTCCCTATCCACTCACCCAACAAACATTTTTTCAAAAAACTAAACAGGCAGAAAAGCTGCCAATTATATTTCAACAAGCAGAGTAAAAATCCAAACGGGTTACAAGAAAATAAAAACAACACCATGACGAAGGAAGTCTTGCCATACTCCTCGACACGGAACATCAACGCAGCCGCATGAAATCAACACTACACCATCTCATTCTCAACTCTTAAGAGACCAACACCCCATCCCGCACGCGAACGAGAGACTCCCCTGACTTTGTGCGGTTTGCATTTTACAGTTGTGGAACTGACATGTGAGCCATCGCGAAAAAGTGGGGCCCACATGTCAGTGGCACAACTGCAGATTTCACAAAGTCAGGGGATCTGTTTCCTCCCACCCACACACTACCGTCCCCATGAATGCCTGGCATTGCCACCGCCGCATCAACCCTATGGCGTCCAAGCACCTCAGGCACGAGCTATAGAGGCCCTCTTTGTTTAGGCTTATAAGCCAACTTATAAGCCGAAAAGTTTAAGCCTAAACAAATAAGCAGCTTTTTCAATTGGCTTTTTTGAAGCCATAAGTCACTCAAGCCAAAAGCTAGGTTGGAGAAGTTTTTTTTAGCTTATGTGAGATAGATGTATGACTCCACCACTAAACTTAGGACATTAAATCCACCGACTTAAAAATCATATAAACCAATAAGCTGACTTAAAAGTCAGCCAATAAGCCTAAGCCTAAACAAAGAGGGCCTACGAGCAAGGGGAGGAAGAACTGGGAGGGGGCCGAGAGCAAGGGCCGGCAATGGCAGCAGCAGAACAAGGCCATCGCCCCACTGCGAACGGGGCCGCAGCCCGCCGTCGACGAGGAAGCGTGCAGCCCGAGCCGCTCGCCGTTGCCAACGAGCGGCCGCCGCCGTCCAGCACAGATCCAGCCCCAATCTGCTGCCGGAGCCCCCAACGTGTTCGAGTTGGGGGCGGAAGGGAAAGCAAGTAAACAAAAAAGAAAAAACACCGCCGCAGCCGCCGCCGCAGCATTCCTCGCGATCATCGTGCTTACTGAATTACAAATCAACGAGCAACGGGGGAAGTATCCTCACTTGGTGTACTTGTAATCACCTGCAAGAACCGAATTAGCAAAAAAAAAAAAAACATGGCATCTTCTCTCCCCCACACAAAACCAATGAAATCAAAAACATCATCAACTTACCGATGTCATGCAGGAGCGCGGCTATCTCCACCTGCAGCAATCAATCAACCACAAAGTCTATCACAACAAAATCTAAAAGAGAGAAAACGGATAAAGCGAGGAGGAGGAAGCGGCGGGTTACGATGAGGAGGCGGTCGGGGGAGGAGGAGAGGCCGAGCTCGGCGGCGAGGGAGAGCGCGAGGTCGCGGACGCGGAGGGCGTGGGCGGCGTCGTGGGAGGCGTCGCGCCCCGCCATCTCCCTCTCCGCAAGCTCCTCCGCCGCCCGCACCGCCGCCGCCGCCATTTCAGATTCCGAAACCTTCGAATTGGAATCGAGGCCTCCGAACAGAACACGTCATAGTGGACGCAGCAGTTACCGTCTCAATTCCAGAACTACACTTTATTACGGCTGCGTGTGGTTTGTGCCCATCTACGCCAAGCTGGCTACATCTTGTGCATCCAAAATATAAAAACCGTCACCAACCACAGCAACCAAAAGAAAACATAGGTAAGTTTTTGTGGTTGCATATCTAATTCATGTGGAATAAGTAAACATTTAGAACATATATGCAGGTTGCATTCAGAATTTTACAAAACTATCCACCGTCACTAATATCTGTGCCAAATCATGCCAGAGAGACCAGCTATAAAACAAATGGTTAATTAGATCCATGCCATTGCAAATATGTCGATCTAGATAATGTCACTACTATTCACGATATCGGCTACGCGCCACTTGAATTTGAGGAAATTGAAACCATGCCACTCTGTTACGAAATCTGTAAAAAATCTCCGTTAGCCTCAACTGCACATAGGATCTAGCTGTCAGTTCCATCTTGTTCACCATTCTTCCCTCTCTTCTCTTTTCCCTACCTTTCTCTAGTCTCTCTCTCTCCGGCGCCGTCGTTGACCACCTCGCCGACATCATCCTCCACCACCATCACTGCCACCGTCGTCTACCACCTCCACGGTGGGAGGGCTCGAGAGCCACCGCCGTTGCTGCCGCCGTCGTCAACCTCCTCCAATCCACAACGGGAGGGCTCGGGAGCCACCGCCGTTGTCAACCCCACCGTCATCGTCACTGCCATCTTCGACCTCCTCCCATCCAAGGCGGGAGAGCTCGAGAGCCACCGCCGTCGCTCGTTGACCTCCAACCATCCGGGTGGGCTCGGGAGCCACCGCCGTTGTCGACCTCACCGTCGTCGTCGCCGCCATCTTTGACCTCCTCCCATCCATGGCGGAATGGCTCGAGAGCCACCGCCGTCGCTCGTCGACATCCTCTCATCCTCGGCGGGTGGGCTCGGGAGCTACTATCGTCGTCGCCATCGTCTTCGACTTTCTCCCATCCGCGGTGGTAGAGCTCGGGAGCCGTCGACCTCCCATCAGCGGCAATCCGCCATCATCAGCCTCCTTCGCTCATCCTCCTCCCTTGCCAACGCCCTCCTCGTTGTCAGTCACATTTGAAAACAAGATGAAGATAGGATAGAGAGAAGAGGGGAGGATAGAGGAAGAAGATTGTACTGACTTATGTATCATGGTTATGGATACCATATACCCAATAGTAGTCGACAGTGGCATGCCAGGTAGAGGAAATTTGGTGCTTCAAAGTTTAAACGAGATGGGTTCAAGAGATGGATTCTCCGACAACCTCTATAAGTGTTTGTATATGCAATATTTATCTATTGATCCTCTTTTCTAATATCGCCATGTCTTGAAGTCGATCCTTTCGTCCCTTTACGCTGTTCTGAATGCGTATTAACTAAGCCGTGTAATCGGAAATTGGCTTTACCAACTTCACGATTGGGGGCTAGGATTTCGTCAACTTCAGCTTGGTTTGTTATAAGATTTAAGTTGCCTTTGTGGAAAAACGACTTTTCCATAAAGATAGCTGGGAGCTAGGAAGGGTACCATACTCCAATTGCTGAGGGCAGATTTAGAGAGAATACTCTTTTATTGTCACATGTAAATTCAATTTATTTTCAATTTTTAAATTCATATTATATTGTGTTACCCTTGAGTGCTCGCTTGGAGACCATTTGTATCTAACAATCTGTTCTGAGTATTGATTTCAGAAAAGTCATATTTCAGGGTTTTGTCGCAGATTATACAATTACTCGATTACTCGAGAATGGTTGGTGGAGTTCGACGAAGATTACGGAATGTAGCGATGGTGTACCCGCCGAGATAAAAATTCTTGACTTCAACCCAAATTCTCGATTACGGCGAGACAAGAAATTTAGTCGCACACTCTGTATCTTCTCGATCGTCCGAGAATGGTTAAGCGAGCATTGTGACTGTTGTTCGAAGGTCTTCGGTTGAGAACATTAACTCGTTCATATGCGTTGCCGCCAAAATTTTCTCAGGCTCGTTTATGGTAGTTGTTTAGACACAATTCAAATTCACTTATGAACTGTTGATCTTGTTTCAATGATGCTGAGTACTCCATGTCTTCTCAATTATTATCGAGAACGACCAAGTGAGCATGACAACTTTGACAGGAAAACGCGGATGACAAACATGAATTCATTTGAGTTGAAGTCAGGGGCTATTGTCATGGTTATGAATACCACATACCCAATAGTAATAGACTAAGTTTCAGTGGCACCCAGCTGATATCGCGAAGCATTTTTTTAATATGGCAAAATTGCAATGGCATGGATCTAATTAACCCTAAAACAAAATGCTACACAAATACTTTTAGAGTTACTTCTAATACCGTGAAAAAATATTCCCATACTTTTAGTACTGGAAATAGTTACTTCTATTTTTCAAAGGTACTTTGTATGTACACATGATTATTTTTTAAAAAAAATAATATAGTGATTACTTCAAATAAAAACTATCCAAGTTTGCATCTTCTCTACATTTGCATGTTAATTTAATTTACTTCACATAGTTTTTGTTATTTTAAGTCATCCACTGAGATGCCCCTGATTTTTTACTCTAATTTTACGCAAGTATACAACACAAACAGTCAAACTATATATAGGAGGTGCGGCCGTTGGCGCGCCTCAGCATCCTCAATTCTTGATGCGACGATCGATCATATTTTCCAGATAATGAAGGTAACTTCCGATACAAATACCATCATTTTCAAAAAGAAAAAGATACAAATGCCAATGATAGCTACAAGGACGCGGTGAATCCATCCAACGAACATAGCTTGCAGAAAAAGTTAATCAAGAGCAAATTTTGTCAAGCAAATTGACCTCGTTTTTTTCCCATCAAAAAAATCGACCCCATTTACAAATTTTACTAGGTAAAAGCAATTTTATCATAAGCCATGACGAATTAATTAATTGGCGTGTGCCGTTCGTTTGTTGCTAGTCGTCGTCGTTAATCCGATGCAGATAATCCCGTTCAATTCCTCAACTAATCCGACAGTTAATTAACGGGATGCACCATGTCGGAGAAGCTGCTCCAACCAATGGATTAATTTAATCGGGGCATTAGTTAATCATTTTCTTGGTCCAAATCCGCCTTATTAATATCGATCGATGGATAGTGGCTCAGCTCGGAGATTCGGCAGCAGCTAGCTGCCTGATCGATCGATCGTCGTCGTCTTCATCTCCGGCGAGCTAGCTGAGCTGAACTGAGCTTCGCCGCGGCGGCGCGCGCATGAAGGAAGAGCCAGGCGGCGGCGGCGGCGGCCGACGGCGACGCTGGTTCGCCGTACTGCTGTGCTTCGGAGGAGACGGTAACGACAAGGATGAGGCGGCGGGGAGGCCGCCGCGGAGGAGGAAGCGCACCGTGCCGGTGGACGGCGCCGGAGACGACGACGGGGCGGTTTCCTCGGCGGGATCGGCTGAGCGGGAGATGAGGCGCGGCGAACGGCGGCCTCGCCGCCGGCGAGGCGGCTGCGGCTTCTTGCTGCCGCTGTCGTCGTGCGTGCCTGGACTACTCAAGGTGTGTGCATGCATCGATCATATCATGCTTTATTGTACACGATTTTCAGTTCAACACGTACATTAATCGCGTGGATTAATTGCGTCATTGTGAGAGATTTTTTTTGTAATTTCATCGTCTGAGAAATTCGCATTTGATTTGACACGTTAAAAATGGTGTCACAGCGTAATGTCAGGAGAAACAGCAACAGCAGCAACGACGTCCATGGCGGGCAGCGGCAGCAGCACGAGCCCACCGCGCCGCCACTGCCGCGACCGGCCGAGCTGCCGCCGCCACCGCCACCGCCTCGACGACGCCACGACGTCGTCGCTCCGGCCACGACGCGCGGCGCCGGCGCCGGCGCCGGCGCCATCGCCGACGCCGAGACGGCCGAATCAAAAGGCGACGTCGTCGTCGTGGCGAGCTCGCGCGAACGCGCGAGCAGCTGCGGCCACGGCGAGTTCGGGCCGGCGATGGGGGTGTGCGTGGTGGCGGCGGTGTCGATGGCGGGGCTGCTCGGCGGCCGGCTCTGGGCCGTCGTCTGCGTGTGCGCGTGGCTCGCCGCGGTGTACGGGCTCCAGCTCAATCGGCGCCGGGCGAAGCCGCCGCCGGCGGCTGACGGCGGAGGCGAGGAGGTCGTCGGCGACGTGAACTCGAAGGATTACAAGAAGCTGGTTGTGCTCAAGGGGCTTCTCCAGCGTGATCGCAGATAGCTACGAACTACACGTTATTAGCAGCTAATTATTTCATTCTTCGTTACTGGTTGTGATTATATTTACAAATGAGAATCAAAATGTTCAGAAATATGAACAAAACGGAGAGAGAAAAAAACAAGTGAATTAGTGAGCTCATCTTTGATTATTATTTTTTTCAACTGCGTTTGTTCTTCTTTACCGTGCAGTCCAAACAACGAAATTTCTATGCGATTGTATGGTAGTTACCATCAAATCATCACAGGTTAATTTAACCCAAGTCCTTTTCACCAACCACTTAATTGATATCACGAACAGTTCAAATTCTTCTGTCAAAATGCCTGCCTAATTCCTCGCATTTTTTTTTAAAAAAAAAACCTAATTCATGCACATTTTGCTTGCGTCGACCCAGCTGTACATAACATCAAAATCGTTCACTCTCACTGAGCAGTAGTGCCACATATATATATTTCCAAATTAAAATAAGCATTAAGCTATCATCACTATCAGAATCACGAAGATGAAGACAAGCAGCGGATGAACAACCACATCACATGCATGGGCGTATTTAAACTGCACCTAATTACTACTAATCAGTTCACTGTTTCGTCAGCGCTAGATAGCTCGCTGTGCCGTACACTGATAGTTCTTCTCGTTGTGTCGCTGTTAATTAATTATCTGGATTGGATGGGCTGCTTCTTCGGCTTCGGCCAACTGACAAAGTAAAACCACGAGCGAGCATGGATGCACATGATGATTAATTATCAGATTATATATATATGGTCTGTACACATGGGAGGATTAGTACCAAATCATGATTAATTCTCTGTTAAGGAAGTATATTACAGTCAAATGCAGAGCCAATCGTGTGCTGAGATGTTAAAAAATGAAGAAGAGAAAAGGAATAGTATGAGATCATCCATTGAGTCAAGGGGAAGCTGCAGGATAAGTATTGGAGATGGAATTGCTTTGTCCCCAAGGGAAGAGAAGTCTTTCATATGAAGGTCCATGAGGGTAGAAGTTTCTAACACTGTAGAGCAAATTAAGGTTGTGTTTAGATTCCAACTTTTTTTTCTCCAAACTTCCAACTTTTCCGTCACATCAAATGTTTAAATACATACAGCTTTAAATATGGAAGAAAAAAACCAATTACATAGTTTGCATATAAATTGCTTGATGAATCTTTTGAGTCTAATTACGCCATGATTAGCCATAAGTGCTATAATAGCTCATATTTGCTAATGACAGAATAATTAGGCTCAAAAAATTCGTCCACAATTTACAGTCCAAATATGTAATTTGTTTTGTTATTAGTGTATGTTTAATACTTTAAATGTGTGTCCGTATACGTCAAAAAATTTTGGCATCGAACTAAACACGGCCTAAGGTGAGTTGACCAGCTATAGCTTCGGATTTTCTTCTTCCATAATCTTTTTTTGAAGGAGACCATATGCTCGCCCTCCAAAACCCAATATGTCCGCCCTTCAAAACCGTGCAGTTCTGTCCAGCCGACAAGCAGATTAAACATACGAACACAGCTCTTATATGTCACACGTAACTAAATCCTAATTGGTATAGGATACCACATATTTAATTGGTACAGGATACCAAATATTGTTTTCTACTGTAGTGCTCTAATTATCACGAATTGAACTGTTGATATTGACCCAAAGTCGCATCATTATAACTTGTAACTCTTGACTTTTACTCTTTAAGTTAGGGTAAAATAAGGGAGTAAATTTCACAAAACTACAAGTACTTTGTTCAAATTATCATAAAATTACAGATTTAACATGATGTATCATAAAACTATAGATTTAACACTAATTTTATTACAAAACCACATACTTAAAGTAAAATATCGCAAAACTATAGGTTTAGTAATAAAATTATCATAAAACTACATGTTTAACATCAGTTTAATCATAAAACTTGGAGATTTACAACTCAAACATTAGTGAAAGAATTTAAACCCCAAAATATGTAATTTTATGATAATTTTATTAGTAAATATGTAGTTTTGGGATACTTAATCTTAAACATGTAGTTTTGGAATAAATTTGTTGCTAATATATGACCCTAAATATGTAGTTTTGCGATAATTTAGTCAAAGTATAGTAGTTTTGTTAAATTTACTTTAAAAAAAACTTGGGTTGGGGCGCCCAGGGAGATCTGAAATTTCATAAGGAAAATTTGAAATTGAAATTTCTTGGTAATTTTTTTAGAAAAGACAAAATTTCGCCCAAAGTATTTTTTAAAAAAATAACACTAGAATGGATAACAGGAAATTACCTGGTTTGGAGCGTGGGCGGGGAAGATTGACAGTTGTGTCCCTGCCAACTGCCCTATGCAGTTAAAGTTATTTCTGATCGAGGAGGCTGGAAAATCTGAAATTTCAAACCAAAATATTGAATCTTGGTTATAATTTCTGTGAACTTTTGAGGGTATTTTGGTATCAGGTAGGCTTTGCTATGCCTGTGTTCCTTTTCTCGGCTATGGAAACATGGTTGGCACATCACAAATGGATGTTATGCATCGTAAAAACATCGATAAGGCGCACATGAAGGGTTTGACACGGTGATCATCCTAGCAACTTGGGACATTTGGAAAGAATGTAACATTTGGAGAGACAGCTCGCGACGCGGTGGAAGAGACTATACTCTATCACTCAGCCAGAGCGCCGATATAGCGCAACCACCGTGGCTAAAAGTCACTTGAATTGGATGACGCGAGAATATAGACTTGGCTGTGTCCGGATGCTTGAGTTCCCAACTCTAACAGTGCGCACGGAAAACGGAGCGGTCCATTAGCACATGATTAATTAAGTATTAGTTATTTTTTTAAAAAAATGGATCAATATGATTTTTTTAAGCAACTTACGTATAGAAACTTTTTTTTAAAAAAACGCACCATTTAATAGTTTGAAAAGCATGCGCGCAGAAAATAAAAGGAGAGTGTTGAAAACTTAGAGTTCCGAATACAGCCTTACCAAAGCCACCTTCATCCCTTCCTCTTTTCCGCTTTGTTATCTTTGTTCTCTTTTTTTTTTGTTGTTGTTTCTGAGTTCAAGTGATGTATAAACTTTCCAATCTTAATACAAAACACATAAGCCTTATACATATTTCTAAAAAGAATCATCATATATTCCTTGAGTGCAATATTGTCATTTCAATAATATAAACAATGTAATACGAGGAATATCCTTGAATTGTTAATGCCAGTTGTATTTTAAATACATACGAAATTCCGACAAGTAAAAGTGTTATTCAAGAATAGATAAACTTGTGATATTCCGTAATATATTGATCCATTGGTGGTGTTTATTGTATTCCATATGTCCATAGGTACGTTATAGTACTACGAAAGCTAGCTCATGTGTAAGCCGGTCAGCCCCTGTTTTCAACATGGCAAGCATTTGCAGACGGATGTCCTCCCAAGTTTTTAATCAGAATGTTGACAAAGAAGAATCTTGTATGACACGATCGATGTCTGATATATTTTCTCTCTTTTTTGAAAAAAAAAATCCTATCCTGGTCCTAAATAAACAATTTTTTTGTCAAGGCCTTATAAACGTAGGACATCAAAAATATTTGTACGAAAGACAAACTTATTACTGCAAAAATCCTACAAAATATAATGTATGCATTCCAACTTCCAAGTAATTTTGTCCTTGATAAGATCTCCAGAAGAATAACTTCAGGCCCATTTTCAGCATTTTGTCTATATTTTTCACGCTTATAGAAATACTTTTTTAAAAAAAATCAGTTCTAAACTATTTGTAAAGTTTATTTCTCAAACAATTAATTCATTACATTAATAAATAAATAACGGGATTGCTATATAGCATTCGAATGAAATTTGTAGATGAAATCATACAGATTTTGGACCATTGGATCCATGCCAAGATTCTTCTTAATAATCCAAAAGAAATTTGTTTCGCAATTCTTAACAAGTTTGTTGCAAGCTAGCGCGCATATCGCATATCCCCCTCCTCACTGGCGCCAGTAGCACGCGGTGGCTTCAAAGTTGGTCAGAGTCTCCCGCGATTCTAATTTGTTTAGCCTTTAAAAAAAAGGAAGATTTAAATTTGTTTAGTCTTCTCCTCCTCCAAAAACCCAGAAAAAACCTTCGCTTTCTCGCCTTAAATTATCGTATTGAAAACTGCTAGTACTAGCTTGTATACCTCTGCTCCTCGACGTGCCGAGACGGTCGCCTCCACGAGTCGCCGGTCGTGACGCGCGACGCCCAAATCAAGCGACGCCGCGCGCGAGCGCCTCCCAGAGAAATCCATTCCTTCCTCGATCGATCGATCGATCTGCCGCCGGCCGGAGGATCGCCGGGATCGCGAGTGTACGTTACACAGTTAGTTTGGTGGCATGCTGCCGCGGCGTCGGATGATGCCGCCGCGGCGCGCCGGGCGGCGGCGGCGGTGATCGCGATCACCACACCGCGTGGTGCGCGGCGCGGCGCGGTCGGGACGCCGCGATGCGCGCTGACGAGGATCGTCATGGTGGGCGACGTCGGGGAGACAACGAGTACGGCGGCGGCGGCGGCGGCGGGCAGGAGGAGGGCGGCGCAGGCGGCTGCTGCTCGTGCCTGCCACCGTTCTGCGGCGTGTGGGGCTCCAGGACGAAGCCGCGGCGGCGCCGGCGAAGGTTCAGGTTCAGGTTAAGGCTCATCAGGCTATCGTGGTTCTTCTCCTGGCCATGGCGGAAGAACAGCGGCAATAAGAAGAAGAAGACGACGGCGACGGCGACGAAGGAAGCGAAGGGGATGAAGAAGCGGATGCTACTCCTCCTCTCCTCGTCATCGTCGTCGGCGGCGTCGCCGCCGTCGCCGGCCAAGAAAGCGCTCGCCGCCGCCGCGTCCGTCTCGGCGGCGGCAGCCGGCAGCTTACTACTCCCCAAGGTACGCGCACACCCACGTCGTCAAACCAAAACATTACATTCGCCATGGTTTTCTCCAAAAAAACCATTCGCCATGGCCACGATCTCGAGCAGCTTGTGTATGTGGTGATCGATCATTAGCGTAAAATTTTCTGATCATTAGCGTGAATTTTTCTTACCTGCATAGCTTCGTCGACACGTTAATGTCGCAGTTCATTAGTGGGTAATTGCGTGGTTAGTAGTAGTAGTAACCGGGTAATAGTTAGTTAGTTAAACTGGCGGGAGACTAACGACGATGGGGATGCAGTGGGGCCCACCACGGCCACAGCCTGCGTGCTTGACCCACCAAACGCAGCCGGCGCGTGGAAGAAGCCGAAGGAAACTAGTCGCTGTTGTTGTTGCGAGGTTTTGGGCTGTGACATTCGGAGAAAAAATAACTCAAATTTGACTATAATATATAGCTGGTCACGTCACGTGTGTTGAAAAAAAGGAATAAAAGTTGAATTGTTTTTCATAGTCTTACGAGATTATTTTGAAAAAAAAAACTCGGGGATTTTAACTTTTCTGTTTACACATGGCATTCATGCAGCAATAGTGTACCTTGTGATTGTGTCAATGTCAGCTTCTGTTTAACCGTTTGTATCATTGTCGTTCATGCCATGCTGTCTCTTGCTGTTAAGATCTTTGTCATTCACTGAAACACTGAATATTAGTAGAGAAAATATTTTCATATTAAGTTCAATTTTATTTAGATTATTGAGTGGTTTATTGCTATGGATTATCTACTAAAATATAATGATAATTTAAATATTTTAATAAATAAACTTAATAGATAGCTTAATGTAAAATATTTTTACTACATTATTTTTTAAAAATATATTTTTTCAACGTGGGAAGCAAATAATCAGTTTCAATAGTATACTAGCGAATAAGGTGAAAAAGAACAATGATCGATGCAGGTCAAGTAGTAGCAAATCCATGATGAGTTCTGGAGTTTGGCGGTCCTACACCCCTACCATGATGGGCCAAATTTAATATTGTATCTCGTTGGAAATCTGGCTGGAATTGAAGCCTTTTCACCATTCAAAAACAAATTTTAAATTCTCGTTTTTCAAAAGCAGATTTTTAAATTATTGTGACACCATCAGCGCATCACACCCGCTGATTCACTAGCTGAGCTTATCTCAGGCAGCAGCAGCCAGCAGGTAGCTCAACTCCTGTGGCTAACTTTCTCCTAGTGCATTACATTTCGTCGAATAATTCGCGTGCAATCCTTGTCGTCATCGATGGCTCGTCGCCGTGATCCGCAGGTGGGCAGCTTCGCCGCCGACGGCGGCAAGAAGCAGAGGAAAAGCGGAAGCAAGTCGCTGCCGCAGCAGACGGTCACCGGCGGCGGCGGCGGCGGCGGCGGCGGCGACGCTGCAGCACCGGCCAAAGAGACGGCGCCGCCTGCCTGGCAACCGTGCCCGAGGCCGGCGCCCGGCGAGCTGGCCGGCGTGAAGAGAGCTCCGTCGAGAAGGCACGGCTCGTTCCGGCGCGAGCCGGGCGGCGGCGGCGGCGGCGGGGGCGGGCTGTGGACGATGGCGACCACGCTGGGAGTGATCGTGTTCTTCGGCCGCGTCACCGCGGTGGCCTTCCTCTGCTCGTGCCTGTACGCCGCGCGGTTCGTCCGGGCGCAGGCCGCCGCCGCCGCCGCTGCCAAGGGCAAAGGCAGCGGCGGGAGTGGGAGGTTCGGCGAGCCGGCGGCGGAGGAGAGGCCGGCGGTGGTGGAGGTGTGCACGGAGGAGCACAAGAAGAAGGTGGTGATGGAAGGTTTGCTGGACAGAGGCGGCAAGAGGCTCTCCTCCCGGTTTTTGTAAATAATCATCATCACCGGCCGTTGATGTTGTAAATGATTTTTCTTTTTTTTTGTCCCTTTTTGTATGGCTTCTTTGTTTTGTTTTTTTTTCTTTCTTGGTTAAATTGCTATATGTGACAAGAGAAATTGGGTATACTAGGGAAAGAAGAGAAGAAAAATGATTGAGTTCGGTTTTGGTTAATTATGGTTTGAATTGCTTGCATTTGTGATAGGAGTACAGAGATCTTTTAGGGTTAATTTCTACTGGAAAAACACCTTTGACGTAGCGGTAAGAGTCATTAGTGCATTCATCACGCTATTTATTCATATCACACTAGTTCAAATGTACTGGCAGTTGTACTTGTAGATGCGAGTACGCTCACGATAGAAATGTTATGAGATTCACAGGTTTGTGAGTTTGTCCCAGACTCGCATATCTCCGTATGTTGGCTATGTACTTACATACACACGCGTGTATCGTGATCAATAAAATCGGGGGGAAAATATGCTAAGATGACGGTGGCTTCAAAACCTGTCATTTTCAGCATATAACTCTGGCAAAAATTTTCATTTATGAAACTACGGTGAACTCCGGCGAGGAACAAACAAAACCAAACTAGACTACTAAAGCCTGAAGCCTACCGTACAGGACTACTCCCTTCGCTGGCTTTTTCACATTTTGGTTCTTTTGAAAAACTTATTTCGCATACAGACCCCTAAAAAAACTTATCCCAGAAATGATCCTTTTTGGGACGTCAGAGTGGCTAGCGTCGTCGTGCAACTGGACGGCGCCAGCCTCTCTGGCGCCGTCCCCCTGCCGACGTGGCAGGGCGATGCTGAGGTGGCTAGGGGGAGCGCGCCAGAGTGGCTGGCACCGCCCCAGGGAGGAGGGCGGCAGCATGGCTGGCGTCGCCCCCCTCCCCACCCCTCACCTCCATTCATGTTTCTCTGTATGGAGTTGCAACGGTGTCATTTTTTTTATTTTTTCGGATGTTTTTTCACACTTAGGATCACGATACAGCCAACCACAAAAAAAATTTAAACTCGAACTACCACTTAGCTAAGTCTGAAAATAGCTAACATACCGCTTAATTAGTCTACTTTGCACCTTCAGTAAAATTAGACCATAACTCCTTTAGTAAAACCCTTTGATCAGCATGTTAAACATAGGAGAGATCCTTTAGTAAATTAGACTATATGAAATTACTTAATCTAATTCAAAATATAACCACATGAAATGATAGCCATAAGTTAAACAGTATAGAGAGATGCAATTTTTTATTTTTATTTCATTTTTTTGATATTTTTTCACACTTAGGAGAACATAGGAACCAACCATATAAAAAATAAACTCAAACGGACAAAATATGTGACTCGTAGAATTTTCCAAAACTCTACCGAAACAGACAAAATATGCCATTTATTGAAATAGGCGTAACTTTCTCATACGGACTCGGAATCAGGCAAATAATATATCCACGGATATCTACAGAAAAAGTTACACCCGATTCTCCCCGCTTTGCCGGGTTCAGCGATATTACAACCTCCAAATTCCACTTGCAAGATTGTGTTTTCGAGAAGAGAAGTTTTTCGGTAGAGCTTTGAAAAATTCCACAGGCCACATATTTCGTCTGTTTGAGTTTATTTTTTATATGGTTGGTTCTTGTGAGTTCCTAAGTGTGAAAAAAATATCAAAAAAATAAAATAAAAATAAAAAAGTTGCACATATCTCTCTGCACTAGTTCGGAGAGAGAGGAGAGGAGAGAAAAAATTCTACAGGTCACATATTACGTCCATTTGAGTTTATTTTTTCTATGGTTGGTTCTTATGTTCCCTAAGCGTGAAAAAAAATATCAAAAAAATAAAAGAAAAATAAAAAATTTCGGGGGGGGGGGGGCGCCAGCCACTCTGGCGCGCTCCCCCTAGTCACCTCAGCATCGCCCCGCCACGTCGGCAGGGGGACGGCGCCAAAGAGGTTGGCGCCGTTGGACGATGGCGCCAGCCACTCTGGCGCCCCAAAAAGGACCATTTCTGGGATAAGTTTTTTCAGGGGTCTATTTGCAAAATAAGTTTTTCAAAAGGACCAAAATGTGAAAAATCCAGACTCCCTTCGTTTCAAGTTATAAGACAATCGAAGTCAAACTGTTTTAAGTTTGACTAAGTTTATAGACAAATATAGTAATATTTATACTACTAAATTAGTTTCATTAAATAAATAATTCAATATATTTTCATAATAAGTTTGTCTTGATTTGAAAATATTTTTTTCTACAAACTTGGTCAAACTAAAAGCTAGGATGGACAGAAAAAAACCGAACCAAAAAGATCGAAACCGAGACCGAAAAATTCAGTCATCAATTCGGTCCTAGGTAGTGAAAGACCGAATTTTGTCTAAATGCAACCTACAATCCACTAGTTCAATAGGATTAAACTCTAATTTTCACATCCCTACTTCTTCTAGGTATGCAACCTAATAAGAATCTTTACTCATAAGTGCTTACGATTTTTTTGGGTGATTTTTGTATTGAAAATTTCCATTATTTCTTTGCATATATGAAAATGTTGTTGAATTTCGGTCAGGACCGAGACCGAATTTGTCGGTCCTGATATTTTTACGTTGAAATTCGGTCTTCACTTTTCAAATACCGAAAGACCGAAGACCAAAATTTTCGGTCAGACCGAATGCGCACCTATACTAAAAGCAGTTTGACTTTGACCAAAGTCAAAACATCTTATAACTTGAAACGGAGGGAGTAGTATTTTGCCCAAGGATGAATTTTGCCCCCCATATTTGAATTAAAAAATATATATAGTGTCAACTTTTGCAGAACATTTTATCTTCATATCCATTAAGTGTACTATTTAGACTACCAAGTGCTTTCTCTAAGACGTATCTTTAATCTCTCCAAACACTGAAGCACAATAAAACATATATAGAGAGAGCACCTCGGAAACCTTGAAGTTGGATAAGAGAAAAGTAGCCAGGTATGTCCCTGAATCTTGGGGCGATACATCGTGGAATATTGGAAACTCGACAACAATGTATCCAGGTAATGCAAGGTAGTATACCATAGGGATCTTCTTCCCCAAAATAACATAGGATCAGTGACAGTCTGGAGCATCGAGCTTTTCAGAAATATTTTCGTCGCATCTCACTTTGGGAGGGAAGTAGCTCGCATTAGCTAGTCGCAATCGTTAACTGGCATATTGGCCCATGTCTCAATGATGCTTTGCTAAGTCTTGCATATACAGATCTTGAGTTCTTGAAGCTTGTGAAGCATCATCAAGGATGCTGAATCCTGAGCACTCTTTTTGTCAGTACGTCGCTCACCTTGAAATGTAATGGTTGTTGCGTCAGGTATGTGCAAGGTGATTGTCGAAACAAAGCTATTGAAGTTTGTTGTTGTCGCCCCATCCATAACAATAGGAGTCCTGTTGCAGCAACCACGTGCATCAATCAAGACATCATGAAGATCGTTTGAGTTTATTCAAGTTTTGCATTTCTTGAAAGAATTTCTTGGTATTCCTGTACATACCTGAACCTTTGTTCCACAAATTCGAATTCTGGCATTGGCCACTGCAAAATCTTGCATAGCTTGAAAAGCGCACTTCGAGGTCCACCTTTCTCCATTTTGAGTGGAAGCACAACTGAAAACATTTCGAATGGCATATGGTTTCAGTAGAATTTACCTAAATTTTAGTACTTCCTGTTTGACAGGTGCAAGCCAGCAAGCAACAATTGAACCAAAAGACAATAAATAATGCGCAAACCTTCTTTCTTTACTGAGGAAAGACCTTCTAGGATATGATAGTCATTCAAATCAGAATAACTGAGTTGTGTTCCTGACTACACAACATCAAATATATTATTCAGAATAAGTTCAATACTTTGATAAGGCGTTTGGTGGAGTGCTGTCTAGAATCTTACACTTGTCAAGTCAAACTGAAGATCTGAAGTCACGATATCCAGCTGTTTAGCCTTGGACAAACATTGTTTAATTGAAAGACCCTGTTGCTGCTTCAAAATCGAACATCAGTTTGTAGGATAAATAAGCATCTATTTTCAAACTAGCAATATGAACACCTCAAGGCTCAAGGTGTACTTGGGCTGCCATTCAACCGGCCAATCAATTACACTACGAGGCACTAGCCAACCCCATATGTGTGTACACTTTTTGTTTCTTCTTACAAATTCTTACCTTAAGATCTGCCAAAATACGAGATGCTGCTTTTGCCTTTGCCCTCTTTTTGTTTCTGTCATGCCCTTGTGCTACCAGCAGCTCATCTCGTAGTTGCAGTGACATCTCTATAATTACTTCTTCTCCTTTACTGGTGCATTTTGAATTTAAGAAGCAACCAATGTGACTGCATAGCTCCAGCAACTCACGGTAAGGTGGCAATGCAAGCTTATCAGGTGTAATCAGTGGAGAAAGCAATGGCTCGAAAATCTCCCAAACCATGTCAACATTAAAATCGGTGTCTATAAATACTGCACCAGCGATGCTTTCCATAATGTCACCAAGAACCTGTAAAACACAGAACAAAATTAGGTTGATAACATGTAATCATAATATTGTCTGGTGATACACTCCGCAAAGCTAAGTATTGAGAATTAGACATTAAAGAGAGAGAGAAAACACATAACTTGAAACTAGGCTATCAAGACTATGAACAAAGAATACTGCATCTAACCTTAGGTACTTTACATGTAGTATGTTGAAGGAATTCACTCTCTTTCCCTTGACACTCCAAATTTGACCTGACATATTCAGTAATTTGCTCCAAAAGTATTCCGGATCCATGTTGTAGATGACTGTGAATGTTGTTTCTTACAACTGCTTGTGCAAAATTCTCATTACTAACCAAAGCGGAGCGTAAATCCGTTAATTCTCCAGGATCAACATCAGTATGAGTAGCATAGAGATGACGTGTAAGAAGTAGATCCAGCACAGAATCACCAAGAAATTCAAGACGCTGAATAGAAAGCAGATAAGAAAAAAAAAAGAGGGGGGCACAAAACTTTTGATTCTAACACAAAACATAATTACTCTGTTGCACTAACCTGGTAACAGTAATCAACACCTAATTCCTGCAGAGATGGATGAGTTATGGCTTCCAAAAGAAGGCCCTTGACTGAGAAGTTGTACTTCAGTTTTGCTTCCAGTTCCTCAATGTCATTTATTTTTGATAAGGAGCATAAATGAG